ACCAAAAAAACTTGTAAACGCCGCCAATCCAGGTTCTCATTTCATGTCCACATCGATGTACGATGCTCGTGAAGCCTTGATCCCTGGATCAGTATACGATCGCTCTGGCACGCAGGTGAACGGCATGCAAAATCACAATCCATATTATCAGAGAAACGTGCCGCTTGACATTTTCAGTCGCACTCACGATACCATTAGCTACATCAGCCCGGAACGGGCGCAGGCGGCGATGAACAATGTACCGGTACCGCTGGGTATGTTCATGAACATGGCGCACGTGCCGCCGCGCTTCTATAATCAACATCAGCAAGCATTGCAGGCACGTCAGAATCAGAGAAATCGACGTGGTGCCACCGCCGCTTCGGTAAGAAACAAATCCGGTCCGCGTATGGGTAAAATGAATAGTCAAACCGAACAAAATACGCAGCCGTACAGCCAACCGGGTCTGCCGCTAACTCAGGGCACGACGCAGGGCATGTCTCAACCCGGCTTCAGTCTCTCGCAGCCTGGACTCAGTCAAGCGGAGCTTTCTCAGGATTCATTCGCGGTTGGTGAATTCCAGTCGCAAATGGACGGTCTGTTGTCACAAGATTCGACTTATCAGGGCGATCGAAGTGGTTTTTACCAATCGGGCCAGTCGCAAGCCGGAGGACAATTCTCGCAACCCTACTGAGCCGAGACCTACCTACGGCTGAGCAAAGCAATTGCCATGCCATGAAGGCTCGTTCGACCAATTCTTCTTCGACCAACAACCACAAATCACTAACTGCGCAAAACGGTAAAACGGCTCGACGATCGAGTACGATATTATTGCAGCATATCTCATGTCGTCGACGTGAGAAGAAAAGGGGAAAGTGAAAGGAGAACGAAAGTTCCGTAAACTAATTCGCCGTTGGCGGACTCCACCATGGATGAAAACATGCGCAAGGCTCATGATTATCTACTGACTGTAACACACAAGTGCGACAAGAACGAAAAAGGACATCCACACAGGCTGGAAAATACGACATACGACAAACTACCAATCACTATGATCACGCGCTTACCGCGAACGAACCGTTTTATTACGGGGATATCGCGTAATGCTAGAATTACAAAAAATATGTACACACAATGTAAAAAGAGAAAAGGGGAAAAAAAATGGAACGTAAAATGGATAGATTAATTTTATAACGACCGAATTCAACAAGTGTGCCAATGTAGCATCATCGGACGAATCCATGGCGAGGAGGTTCGCGAATGAGGATCTTTATAGCCGTCTACAACAAAATGGAAAATCGAATCTCGCAATAGCAAAGTGAAATGCTACATGTTTCTGCCACTTCGCCACAAATGTCAACATTGAGGAACCGAACGCAAAACACAAGAGAAATAGAAAGAAAAGAAGACTACATACATTTCGAATTTCTTTATACCAGTCATTCATCTCGAATTGAAAATAACACCGCTACTACTTGCTACTCGAATGCGTGAGCGCAAATCGCATCCTGAAAGTCGATATCGATTTCTCCGGCGGGATTTTGTCGAAAGGAAAGTCGCCAATTAAATCTTCGTCAGACAGTATGAGGCCAACAGCATTTCAATGTTATCACATGAAGGTGGGACATCCTTTCTCAGAGGATCGGCATCTTTGCCGTGATCGTGAGAAATTCATTGGTGGTTTTAATTATATCGATTAGTTTTTTGTTTCCTTATGTTATATCTATTGCTTACTTACCGCAGGGGTCAACAGAGCGCATTAAAAAGATTGCTTTCTTTCAGTAGGTCCTTAGTGGTGAGATCGATTTTTAGCGATTAATGTAATCGGATATAGACACAGCTTATCAAAATATATTATCGTTCTTTCTTTTACATATAACATATACATATATATATATCGCGTCGTATATATCGTTCTTGAATCTTTTCGCGACGACTAGTGAAACTGTTACAGCGCGGCAAAACGTTACTCTTTTCCAAGAGTAGTACTATTTTTTTTCCATATTAACTACTATGTATAATTTTGTTGCATCACATACATTAAGACAATACGATAATTTGTATCGTACAAATCGATGATGGATAAGAAATTGCTGAAATTTCTCTTTACTGATTTGACGTATTTGACTGCAACGTATCTCTACATAGGGGGAACTTTGACAAGCCATTACATGTAATGGCTTTTCTCGTAGCGAAAGGATTAACGTGCGAAACGATAATTATGTAAGCTTAGGATTGAAAAATTTTGATTTGTGTATTTTGGGGTGGAAACAACGAAACAACTCATTTTGAAACGTTATGGAGATATTTTACTGCTGTATCGACTAAAATGTCATATAGATTTTTTTTTGTATTCGGACATCGCTTTTTTGTTCTTTCCGAATCCCTGCTTTTTAATTAATTCTATACTCTGTCTGTATTGGCTTCTGGCGGTAATGAATTCTCATTATATTATTGCAATAGATTAAGTAATTATTAATGTAACCTGCGCATTACATGACACTAAATTCTTTTATTTCTTCTGTCCGACCAACAGCGCACCGCTACATAACAGCAGATTATAATATTAAAATTTATTGTCTCTTATGAAATCTCTTATGAAAAAATAAATTTGATTTGAAAATATTTAGTTTGTTGATTAATATAAGACAAAATAAATACATATACAAATTTTCTTAATTGTATATATACGGATTTCCTTAATTTTGATTAAGGGAACTCTTGACTAGATAAAATTTATAGGAATAATACACGTATTGTGCACATATTTTTAATATCTTTTATATTAAAATAAAATATGTATTTATTTGCGCAACAAGTACACACATTAATAAATACAAGCTAATAATTATTTTTGTATTATACAGTTATAACGCAATTAATAATTTTTTTAATCTTTCAAAAAGAAAAACTGAAAAATTAAGCGCATTTGTAACATCAAAATGGAGAATACTTATAGGACGTTAAAATTTGCGCGAACTTAATTACTTCTAGTCACCAATATTAATACGCGGGAATTTTGCGCGCATGCGCTAAAGCGGCACGTGTTTTAACCATTTTTAAAGGCGCCTTTTCATTGACATTTATTTTTCAGCACGATATCATTCGTCGTTTTTTGATCATGTGATGATGAATGACGTTTGATATAACCAATAAGAGTTTATTTTCTAGAGACATGTGTCCCTTAGTTATATTTCGCAAAACTGTCGGACTCAATAAGAATGTTTGATTGGTCGATTTGCCTTATATACTAAAACTTTTTTTCATAATTTTGGCTTTTAGATATACACGGCACGCTATATATTCGTGTGTATTCATGTAACATGTAAATATAATAGCGTTTTCGACTTGTCGCGATTCAATCGCTTCAAGAGTTTACTAGATGTGATGAATAGTTTACTAGATGTTATTGACCAATCACAGTTATTCTTTTGAAGAATATATGGTTACATTTTTCAGGTTACATTCTTCTTGTGGTTCAAGCATCACTGTTAATCAAGCACGTGAAGTGAGAGTCATCCATTACGCGTCAAAGATTTGAAAATTTGAACGTTTTGGCTTTTTGTGGATGTGGCGATTTGCATTAATAGTGACGAGCGTGCGGCGAATCAATTGAGACAACGAGAGACATTCGTCGTTGACATATCGCGCGCATGCTATTGTAAAATTGCTGCTGGTTGAGAGATCGCGGTGAGAGTCACGATTACGCCGCATCGTATTTCCGATTGTGTACATTAATAATCGGAAACATAAAGCCCGGGAATGAAGAATAGTTTTTCCATAAATTTTTCGTTCATCTAAAAGGGTAAATTTGATTGCAACATAGCGATTAAGAACAGGTAATATCGCTATTTCCTTCTCATTTCTCGTTTACGCGCGAATTTCTATTTCTGTTTATTTGATCTCTAGTCTCGCTCTCACACCGCTGTACACGTGTACACGAGCAAGAAAATATTTAATAACTTCTGTATAGATATATATATATGTGTGTGTATGTGTGTGTGTGCACACGCACACGCACACGTTTACATAGCACGATGTTTGCTCGGGCAAGTAATATCTCATAGAAAATTATGTGTTTGATGTGATAAATATATTCAGACAATTTTGCAATCTTGAGTGTTTTTGTTTCATTTGTGATATTCTACTTTAAAAATAGTATAAAATAGTATAAAAATAGAATAAAACAGTAATATATATACTAAACTTAATCTGATATTCTACTCAAAGATGTGCACAAAGCATGTAAGATTATTATAATTTGTGCTGTAATAAATAATTTACAGACTAATACTTGATTTACATAATAATATAATACTATAAAATTATTTGCAATTATTTTTCTTGTTTCTTACAGGAGGTTATGATAGAGTATGCAAGCACTTATATATTAGTTAAAAACTCTCAAAGAGAGAAAGAATAAAGGCATTCATATATTATCTCACATTATATAAATCTTAATTAAAACTTAATTGAAAACATCTGAAAACTAAACTTCAAAAGTACTCAACTTATAGTCAAAATTACACATGTAAAATTAATTACTGTGAATGTAACTGGATTGAGATTATAACAAATCTGATAGTTGATTAAAAATATGGACTTCGTCTTGCATAAATTTTCCTTTATCAAAATGCTGTGAGAGAGAGAAAGTATTTCTCATTAAATATAATCATTAATTTACATTACAATTTAGTTCTGCAATTCTGTATTCCACATATGCATCTATGTATATGTCTAAATATATCTCTAAAACTTTATGACAAAAGATCGACACTATAAAGATAAACTAAACACAGTGTCTCTGCTTTTGAATTCTTAATTTCATTATCGCTTTTCTTGCATTATTATGGAATTGTTATGTATATTGTTATATTCTAGATTAACATAGCAGATCTCACAAGATACAAAATATAAATTTTGCAAAATTATATAAAAAAATATAAAAGCAAGAAAGTAACACAAGAAAGATAAAGAGAGTAAGAAGATTTTCTAATATATATATATAAATTAAATAAAAAATTGCAAGATTTAATAACAACATTGTGCCTTATATATACTATTGATTACTATAAATATTTATGAGGACCATTAAAAGTGCAATAAACTGCTATATTAGCAATTAAACAAAGAAATTGCACACATCTTGTATATCCTATATATCTATATTGACTATGTACCATACTACTGTGTTTCCACCACAAATAATGGTACAAATGATGAGTGGACAGCAAACAGGTGGACATTGTCTACCATTGCAAGCTCATACGTTGCGTATTAATGGCATAAATGGATTGCCTCAAATTGATTTTACACAATATAGTTCAGATATTTCTAGGCATAACAGACCTCAAACAATACAGGTATATGTAAATTTTTTACATTTAATTTGAAATGTAAATATATTGAAAGAAAAAGAAAATATTTTTTCTCCAAAACTTATATTTTTACAAATGTTTTTAATATGATATAAAAATAAATACAAAATAAAAATACAAAGTAAGAATTTACTTGAATAAAACAAGTTATGGAATTATTTATATTTGAAATGCAAGGTAATGAATATATTTAGACTTTGTTTTACAATTCATTTATAAGTTTAAGTTATATCAAAATATGTGTGGCGAAAGTATTCATTCTTATATTCAACAATAATTAATATGACAAAATTTTTTTTTACTTACATTTATAAATATATTTTATTATGTGAATATATTGTTTTTGTTTATATTTTTCTGTTGGAATATATAAATAATATTCTTGTAGACAGAATCTCAGCCAATGCAATTCTTACAACATGTGGGAGTTAAAATGTCACCAGTACAACGTATAGAATATACACTACCAAATAATAATAATTCATCTGCTGCAACTTGGGAGAGACGAATGAGTACATCCAACAATACTTCAATTATTTCATCGTCAAATTATAGTTTCAAACCTGCAACTACTAATTCATTAAAAAAACCGAGTTGGAATAATAGAAATGGTAGACGAAGTACATATAAAAATTCTTATTCCAAGTATGAGACATATAACAGTGACAGTGGATTTAGTTCTCGTTCACCAACACCAAATAAATACCATATTGACAATAGTCTTACAGAGAGTTCAGATGAAAAAGATTCCACAAGTTCATCAAGAGGACAAGAAATAAAGTAAATATAATGAATCTTTAAAATTCTTTATTATTATTTAATTTTCACATGCATATTACTGCTACTCTTTTTTATTAAAAATCTACCTTAGAATATATTAATTAATATAGAGAAGAGAAAAAAAGAAAAGCGATATAATAATATGATATATGTGTAATATATATATTAATAAAAATTATGTACACACACATATATATATATATATATATATATATATATATATATATATATATATGCAGGGTGAATCATAATCATTACAATTGCAGTCGGTAATTGATCTCTAATAGTAGAAGATTGGTACAACCATTATGATTCACCCTATATATATATAAATTTTATGTACAGGAAATATCATAGGATACATTCAGATAATAGAATAATCAACAAACCAATAAATGGGTTAATTTCAAGTGCATCTGCTCATCAGTTTTATCAAAATCAACGACCTATCAATTATTACAATAATAGTGTCTCCACCTCTAGATCTCATGCTCAAAATTATCAGAATAGAAGAAAGTATTTATCAAGTAAGAATTTTCTCTATATATAAGATAATAATAAGATTATCTATACTGTTGAATGTTTTTGTATTGCTTTTGAATCTCCTAAAAGTTATTTATTATTTTCCTTGTTTCTCATTATTCACATGTTATTTACTGTGTGCTATGTGATTGTGATATAATGAGAAAGCAAGTAAAAGTACATGTTCATGATGTACAAATGTAACATGCTACATTTGTACATCATGAATTGTGAAAAAATAGGGATTTGTACATCATGAATTGTGAATTGTGAAAAAATAGGGAAAGGGATAAGGGGAAGAATGGGAATTTACAACAGAGACTCAATTAATATTTAATATTATATTGATATCAAATTCAGAAAATATACAGTATAGAAAAAGTATATAATTTGATTCACTTTATATTAAATAAAATTTATTTTCAGGTAGGAGTGAAAATGCTCAAAGATTTCTAAGAAATCGTAAATTTCCGGAATTTTTATTGCCGAATCACAATGTGGTTTCCAAATGTATTACAGCTCCTGATAGATATTTTGCTAATTCTCATTTGATGGAAGTAACTTCTGTACCAAAGAATATTATGACTGGATCAAAATGGGATAATCTGTCACAAAAAATTTGGTCGAAATTTATATTAAATCAACAAACTGAAGTTACTTATAAAAATAAAATGATGCTGTGGAAAAGTCTTTATGTTTACATTAAGGTAAAAAATACAAAATAACGATTAAGCAGAAATATAAAAATTATATAAAAAAAATATTGTGAAATATTTAAAAAGAACATTCATGTGTTCGAAATGATATACTAATTAATTTATTCATATATTGATGTTTGTTTATAGAGTCAATATCCAAAATATGGTTTATTTTTGGTTGGTTCAACAATGAATGGATTTGGATCGGATAATAGCGACGTCGACATGTGTCTTTTAGTGAGACATACAGAAATGGATCAAAAACATGAGGCTATAGAGCATTTAGAACAAATACTAAAATATCTTAAAAAATGTGGTATGTAAGAAACAGAAAGATTTATAATATCATATAAAATATAATGAATATTATCTTTTAATATATTTTACATATATATATATATATATATATATATATATATATATATATATATATATCTTAATAACATACTTTTAATCTATCTTTCATATTTAGATTTCATTGATCAGCTCGAACTTATACATGCAAAAGTACCTATTATAAAATTTCGTGATACAATACAAAACTTGAAAGTTGATCTTAATTGTAATAATGCTGTTGGTATTAGGAATACACAATTGCTGTATTGTTATTCAAAACGTAAGCTTAATAACTTGATACAATAACTTGAATATTATTTACATAAAAGTATTTTATATAAAGAATGTTTTTATGAATTATCTATATTTTTACAGTTGATTGGAGGGTAAGACCATTAGTACTTGTTATAAAACTTTGGGCTCAACATCATGATATTAATAATGCAAAAGATATGACAATATCTAGTTATTCTTTAGTTCTCATGGTCATACACTTTTTACAATGTATGTATATTGCAGCATTTATTTTTTCTGGACCAATGTTCTTAGAAGAGTTAGAATATAAATATTATACTATTTTACAGGTGGTGTCAATCCTCCAGTTCTGCCATGCTTACATTCGATATTTGAAGACAAGTTTAGCCCACATATAGATATTCATAGTATCGACATTCATGAGGATTTAAAAATTCCATCTTCGACTCGTTTACCTGAAAATAATCAGTCTCTTGGAGAATTACTTGTAGAATTTTTCAGATATTACGACAAATTTGAGTAAGTAATATCTTATTTACAAATGTATAATGTTCAGAAGATATATTATTCTGATATGTAATTTTAAATTTATATTATTAAAAATTAGTTTCAGGCAATATGCGATATCTGTACGCTTAGCAAAAAAAATACCAATTGAAGAATGTCGTATGGTGCAATCCCTCAAAAACGATCCTCGTCAATGGAAATATTTATGTATTGAAGGTAAATGAATATTCTTTTTACATAGATAACATAAAAGCATTGTTTTTTTTATGCTTATTAAAATTATTACAATATTGTAGAGCCATTTGATCTGACTAACACAGCTAGATCAGTTTATGATCAGGTTACATTTTTAAGAATTCAACAGTTAATTGAAAGAGCACACAAAAAACTGCAGGAAAAACATGATCTAAATCCTATATTTGACGAAATATGCGCTGATGATCCCATGACATTTTACTTAAGCGGTGAATATTGGTGAACCTGTTTTAATCGAACCAAAGGCATTTTGTTAAATGCTGATAGCTTAATGATCTGATGATCTAAAACAATATAAAAGGAAGATTGAACGAAATGAAATAAGACTGCCAAGATCGTCTTGTATGCTTAGCTTAGTACCTTGTAATATTAAGCTTTATTTTTTAAAACAACTTATATTAGCAAGGTATACAAAGTGAAACATGATAAAACATGTTTATTAAATTACTTGTCTGTAAGTAATAGACTTTCAAGTAATCCTCCATCAAATTTTATATTTTTCTTTTTGGAGGATTTTAAAATCATTAATTATATAACATCTTTAAAAAAGACAGTGTCTTTATTAACATGCAAAAATATTTCATTTTGATATAATGTATTGCGAATGCACGGGTATCGTTCCTACATACGGGTATCGTTCGTATATAAATGCAAAACTTCCAATACGTGCAATAATAATAAAGTCTGATTTATACTTAAAGCTACAATTAATCAGGCTTACTTGGATCTCTCTAAATCTTTAATGAGAATCATGAAATTAATTAAATACCTCTACTCTGATAATTAGTTATATTCATGTATGATAACATCATAGTGATTACTATCATATCAAAATTATTCAACATTGTCTTCCCAATATATATTACTCATTACCCTAAATATAAGTCTTTCACGTAATATCAACAAATTTAAAATATATAGTGCCTTGTAGCTATTTTGATTACTGTTAATACAAATATATACTACAGGATACATCTACAATGATTAGATATAAAAGGAGAAATAAAGGAAATAAGGGTAATGAAATTTTTTCTATGACGTTGAAAAATAATTATCAGATGCTGCACAAATATATTCTCGATTAAAAAATATTTCTAACTAGCTAAATTGCCAGCCATAAAAAATATCTGATATTAAATGTCTGATATTAAAATAACATCCTTATATACAAAGAGAAAGATGCAATACTTATTTTTTTTCGCGTAGTTGCTATTTCTCAAAAAGAAAAAAAAAGAAAAAATCACATGAGATTCGTGAGAAAAAAAATATATAAACTTTTAACATTACCTTTGCAAAATAATATTAAAAAATAAAAAAAATAAAAGAAAAACGCTTGTTAAAAATAAAAAAAATGTTACACATTTGAAATAAATTAATTATTTACGTTTACAATATTTTGTTCAGATATATAGTGAATGAAAGACTGATAGTAAAGTTAGCAAGACTGTTTCTTTTAAAAGAATTTAAAAATTTTCTAAGTTCCAATAATTTTGCCTTAAAATTGATACAAATATATCGGCACGTTAGGGGGATAATTTATATTCAATTCAATCCTAAAACAAAATATGAATTATAATGATATATAAATATATATATATATAAATTAGAGTAAAAATTTCTAATATTCTTGAAAATTGAAAAACTAAAAGCAAGTTTTTTGATATCAATGAATTTAATCTTTACTCCTTAGCAAAATGCCTCTTTATTTTTTTAGTAAATTTTCATTATTCTGAAACAATCAATTAATAAAAAATCTGCAGTTACAAGATTATGTATTTCAATAAAATCATTAACTTTATTAAAGGACATTTATACAAAAATTGTCTAAAAATAAAGTTATCTCATAATCATCAATCTTGGAAATATTTAATTGCTGAAAGATGACAATCTTCTTAGTATAGCTAACTTTGCGTAATAATTCTTTCCAAAAGAAACATTCAAGCTTGATACTTTTCTTTCTTTGTCAAAAGGAGGCTATTATCCCCATTCTTTTGCTAGTGTCTTCTATTAATATTTTTTTTTCTTCAAAGAAATATATATAGCATTGTGTAATAACATTCTTAAATAATATATAAAATCAAGGTTGTGCTGCAGTATAATAAATTAATATTGTGATTATATTAACTCTAGGTCCATATAAATAAAATATAAGTAACACGAAAAACATCTATTAATTACAGGATGAATATGCAATATTAAGTAACACATATATTTTGCTTTATGCACATATGACTTATGCACATATTCTTATGATAGTAAAACAACTGATTCCATTTCTGATGTGATATTAAATTAAACTTATATCTTTTGTAACGCACTATGTACTTATACACAATGCTACTGTAAGCGTCAAATTTCTTAATGCATTCTTATAAAACAAAAAAAAAATTAAAATTAAAAATTAACGATAAATCGAGGAATTTAGGTTGCAGCATTATATAATCTTAGAATAAATTGCAATAGTACATTCCTATTAAATTATAAGTAAACATCTGATTTATACAATAAATTCGATTTCCTGTAAAACATCAATTTTCTTAAATAAAATGTTTATACAATATACATTATTTATTTTTTTACTATTTTTTTCCATGATAATTTGTTTTTGATCATTTGATAAATATCGATGTAATGTACGCACGTATCTCTGTTAAATAATATATATAATCTTTGTATGAATGTAATATATAATGAAAAAGTAATATTCAAATATTCGCTCTATACAGAGGCTGTGTTCCAAAATTCACTGCCAGTACTGAAAATCTATAGTGTACGTCATGTAAATTATAGATTTTCAGTATGGCAGTGAATTTTGGAACGCAGGCTCTAAATACTATTTTATATAATAATATACACAGAGATGCGTGCGTGCACATTCAGACATTTATCGAATGCAAAATTGATTATCATATGTATATATACTTTTCAGTATACTAATAAAATGTATCTTTCAATAATAAAGAAAATTTCCTTTTCCTAAGAATTCCAGAGACAATTTTTTTCTCAATTCTAGGGAAAAATGACATTGGCTGTGTTCCAAAATTCACTGCCAGTACTGAAAATCTATAGTGTACGTCACGTAAACTATAGATTTTCAGTACTGGCAGTGAATTTTGGAACGCAGCCACTATTAAAGTCAATTTCAATGTTGGTCATTCTGAATATACTATGGTTATAATTTCCGTTAGCCATCGTGTTTCATTTAGATTCCTTTCCGGTAGGGTAACAGAATGACGGGGTTCAGTGAGAAGGTAGGTGTTCCAAAATTTTAGATATTTTAGATAGTTGAAGAGATATTTGCACCGAGCATATATGCGGTGACGATTACTTAGCCAGAGAAGCAATGTGTGACTTCTTTACCGCTCTTCGAATAAAAATAATTATCGAAAAGGATACAAAAATTTTGTTTGACTCATACACGTGTCTATGATGGCGAACGTCTAAAACGAAAATTCCAGCACGTTGTCATATGGTCCAAGATCTCGGATAGACACTTTAATCTTCTTCATTTGATATTTTCATACCGCGTTTATGCTAGTCCAAACACTATGAATTGCATATATTATTAAACTTATAGTGTTGCGAGCGACATGCACGTGTATCACATTGATTCTAAGATCCTGTAATTGAGGTCTTACAATTATAATATTATACTATTATGATTTCAGTCAATATTAATAGATGGCCGCGGCCATTTACTCGGCCGATTGGCGGCTACTGTTGCCAAGACTACCTTGCAAGGCAACAAAGTTATTGTTGTACGTAGTGAACAACTTAACATAAGCGGTAACTTCTTCAGGTTTGTAACTTCTCATTCTTTGGATTTGGAATAATATCTGATTTTAAGTAACCAATTGTTATATTTGTATGATTGAAATGTGTCAAAAATATAAGATTATACATTATTTACTTTTTGTACAAGGAAATATATGAATAGTTTTAAAATTTATATTGTTTATTTTCAGAAATAAGTTGAAATTCATGTCTTTTCTACGTAAGAGATGTAACGTAAATCCTGCACGTGGCCCATTCCACTTCCGTGCACCTAGCAAGATTTTCCGGAAAACAGTTCGTGGTATAGTTAAAATTATATTAATAATTTATATTGATAAAATAGAACTATTGCATATGATTACATATTTACCTACATTATCTGATAATTTAATGAAAGAAATCTTTTTTATGAGGCTAAAGATACATATAATATCTCACACTAGTAAAGATGTAAGAATATTAAAAAAAATAATAATAAACTATAGGTATGATCCCACATAAGACTCAAAGAGGAAAGGATGCTCTCAGACGATTGAAAGTTTATGAAGGATGCCCACCACCGTACAATCGCAGAAAGCGTGTCGTTGTGCCTGGTGCCATGAGAGTAATGTGTCTTAAACCAGGCCGAAAGGTAAATCATATTGTGTATTCCAGCTTCTTTAATTCTTTCATATGCTTAAATATTATTTTATTTACTGAAAAAGCAATGATGGTATGGTAATTTGCGTCTGAAGTTGGTCTATATGACCATGATGTTATTTTAAACTGAGCATTAAACATTATAATAGTTTATTCTTGTTCTTTCACAAAATATTAAGACAATATTTATACTGATACAAAACTTTTTCGTTTTTAGTATTGTCATGTGGGTAGACTGTCTCATGAAGTAGGATGGAAATACAAGTCTGTAGTTCGTACGTTGGAGAACAAGAGACGTGTTAAGGAAATTCTTGATATTCAGAAAAGAAACAAGCTTAAGGTAATTTATATAATCAAACTTTTTTATAACTATATATTTAAAAATTTTTGCTTTTAAGAAATTATCTCTGACAGAAACATAATTTGAGATTTTATAATCGTATTTTTTTTTTTGCAGAAACTTACTAAACAAGCTGGTGAAGCAGTTTCCAAAGCCGCAGAACCATACACAAAAATTATTAATGACTTTGGATATAATTAACATTATAAAAATAATAAAGTCTTTTAAACTATATAATTTAAATTATTTTTTTTCACATGTGGAATTATTAGAGAAAAAGAGAGAAATATATTTCTTAAGTATTCAAAAGTAAAATTGCACGATTCTTTAATCATTTAAAAAATAATTTTATTAATAAAAATAAATATTAACTCTTGAAACACTAATATTAATATACAAAATGTGTATGCAAATGTGTAATGTTAGCTTTCTATAGAATCTACAGTAAATACAACTGTTCCACTTCTATCATTATCTTCTTCATCTTGTACTTCGTATTCTTCCTCATCATCGGAGGAAGAAGAGGAAGAAGGTAAATTATTTGTATGTCGTAACTGATAATTTCCAATATCTTGTGATATAGGACCAATATTGTGCATTCCTATTTGATTAGTTAAACGCTCTATTGCGTGTTTTGTTTGAATTTCCTGTCGAATAATAAAATATATATTTAGAATTAATTGTAAAGATATAGAAAAAGGTTTGTAAAAAATTTTTGAAATTTAACAATTTTAGGGAACATAAAAAAATACCTGTAATTTTTTAGTTTGTTCTGTCTGCAATCTTAAAGATTCATTAATGCTTAGAACTTTTGTTGCATCATGAATTATAAGAGGTGGTGTAGCTGCTGTGACTTCCCAATTTTTAGGAAGTTTTCTTTGTTTCTCTTTTATTGGATCGTGCACATTGCTTTTAGTTGTTTTATATGGCTTAAATGGTTCTTTCTTTTTGTTTGTTTCTTGTGCTTTTTCTACTTTATCAATGATATATTTTACATGTTCTACATCTAAACAATTGTCTGTTTTAAAGGATTCAATTTCTACTATGTCTTCTGGCTTGATGAGACTTTCTTCTGGTATTATGTGTATAATTTTTTTCTTATGAACTCCAGTTCCTGTAGGCTATTAGAAAATAAAAAATTATATTACATTAGCTAACAAAAATTATTACTAAGTATTTACATATAATAAACCTGAGCTAATATCTTTAATGGATCTTCTTCATCGTCACTATCTAGTTCTACAACTTTGGTTGTATTTTCATCATTCTTGTCATTATATTTTCCTGTCCATTCTAATTTAGTCATAGCTGCTTTGCCTATGGATGCTATATTAAGTTGTGATAGCAAATTAGCTGCTGTCTCCACTTCATTTCTATGCTCAAGCTCTTTCAACAATTTATCACGGAACCTTACAATTTTTTCTCCTTTATCGGGAAGCTTTGAGATAAATTGTCTGAAAAAATGTAATAAGAGTTAGAAATTCAATATTCATAATATATTAATTTATCAATTTATTTATTATTTTACCCACTTGTTTGCAAGAATTTTATTTTGTCTTTCCACAAGTTCCTCCAATTCAAATTTTTGCTTTATCTCTAAATCTTCGATATAACCTTGGCTTTCCTTTTTCGAATGAAGTGGTATATCGCCAGGTATTTTCTTAATTATATTTTTTGACATCTTTTCATATATTTATCAAATTCCTAAAAAAGCATACTTTGAATAAAATCAGTCATATAGTTAGAGAAATTACATAAAATACATACCATAAAAGAATAAATAAAATTACATGAAAACTATTTTCCAAAAATTATTATAGTATATATATATATATATATCTGAAATTGCATAAAATTATAACCTTTAAACAAACTTTGCGTAATGTGATTAACATTGATTTTAAAGGTCATTAAAAATCGGTGCATTGCAATTGTTTAAAAATACTTTGATATATTCATTAGCGTAAAAATAATCATAGAAAAGTGTACGTTTCGAGACGGACATAAACAATGATATTATTGCAAAGAAGCACACTATTCAAAACAGTTACTTTTAAAACGTTTCAAACTGACAATACACGTTTTTACTCCAAAAAAATAAACACATATATGACATAAAAAAGTACAATGTACCATTTTCATGGACATACGCAATGGTCGCCAATCAGATTACAATACTGAAAGGTACATGTCTACCGACGTATGTGTGATACAATTTTACATCATAGCATAAACCCATTGAAATGACACAACGAGATATCGCGAGATCCTCGTTTCGCTTGAATCGATACGAAACGGCATATATCAACCAAATGAAGATTTCGATTCCAACCTCAATGGAGTTCGAAAGTGCGAAGTACAATGTTTCGTTTCATCTTCTAAATCGTCGTTAAATACACGCCGATAATTTATCGCGGAATCCTGAGGACTCGTTGCGAACTTTAGCGAAGTTGGAGTCCACAAACGACGAGGATTCTTATGCGGAGAGGACCGTGGAGTTGTGATGACTGAGAGCTCGATCGGGAGCAACGAGCTCGCGAGGCGTATTGTCAGTCCTCAGAAATGATGAATTGCAATGGAGGATCGTCCGTGGCTGAGGCACGCAAAACGAGTGCTTCCATGGACAGCAAACCGATTGTCACCTGTGAGTTGGCTCGAATCGTTTAACCGCTATGTTATGCCGATAACAACGCCGTCTCACTGATGCTCCCGATTTCACTATCTGTCAATTTCCGCGATGTTTTCCCTCTTTTTTTCCTTTCTATTCCTCCGGGATAAAATTGACGTTTATTGTTTCGATAAAACTCGCGGAACGATACGTGCTTCAAGATTGAGTCATTCGGTTTTCTAAAGTCTTTTTGTCTTGAAAAACATATGTTAGCTTTGCAGAATAAAGAAAAATATCACTTGAATCATATTTAGATAATTGAATATTATTTTCCCGATTCTTTTTCTTCCTTTGTTACGCATATGTAATGTTTAGATTATAAATTGATTCGATAAAAATACAAGATATATCTTGTGACATGTTTAAATCTTACCTAATCGCAGTATATGCAAGAAAGATGTTATTCTTATTAATAAATTTATATAAATATGCTTTCTTTTAAAATTATTCTTATTTATATAAATTTATATAGATGATGACTCTTATTTATATAATTTATATAAATGTATCATTTTAGTATATATGTTTTATAGATAGGTAGAGTAGAAATATAATAATTTGTGTGATTATACAGGCGCTGGAGATGAGAACTTGTTTTCTACATTGGAGAAGAATTTACTTCAAGTTATACCCGCAGATGTAGTAGAATGGCGTAGGTCCTTTAGCAGGCCTATTAAACAAGTTAAACTTGAAACGACTTTTGTGCCATTTTCCAGGGATATTTTGCCCACTGAGAAAGATTGGCATCTTATAAAACAACCAATCTTTCATATTTATTGGACTGAATGTTCTGTAAGTTTTTATAATAATGTTTCATTTGATACTATAGTTTCTTGTTATATATATATATATATATATATATATATATATATATATAATAAAAAAAGTTGTGTATATAATTTCAAGATAGATTTTTTCTTGTACTACGTATTTTATCAAAGGAAGTTATATATGTGAAAATAAATTATATATAAATATAATAAATTAAAAATGCTTTGTGTTTAGTAATATCTGGTTGTATTTATGTTTTTGATAACTTTGCAATAGCAAGTATATTATGTCTTATACGTCTCTTTACAGGATATTGATACTTATAAGACTAATGTCAGAGATGATATTGATGCCTGGTTAAAGATATTAAATTTATATCACATCCAAGATTGGATGATTGTGTTAGTAGAAACATATGATTTAAAAAAGGCCAATAAGCTATTACCTAGGACAACAGTGTTGGATAAAATAAGAAATGACTTTGCTGCCAAAAATGGTGACAGGTAATTACATTCAAGTTGTAATTGATATAAATTCAATAATTATATTTTAACACAGATATGAATATTTTTGTTTATATGAAATTATATCTGTAATTGTTAGATGCTTTGCTGTAATTAATCCAATTAAATCTGAATCTCGTTCCGCCGAGTCATGGAGAGGCTTGATAACTCGTATTCGTCATTTGATGTTGACTGCATATGATAGAACTCTTTCACGCTTTGAGGATATTATACGTGAGCAGAGAGAAAGACGAAACAATCCTAATTGGAATTTCTGCCATTATTTTCTTCTACAGGTAATACAATGCTTGCTGGAAATTTTTTTATTTTTGAAATATTTTGAAAATTTAGCAATATTTTTTTTATTATAAAAACGACTTAAAATTGTTTTAGGAAGAATTGGCGTTTGCATTGCAAATGCTAGGTCTATATGATGAAGCATTGGTGCAATATGATGAACTAGATGCTCTCTTTACACAATTTGTACTCAATTCTAATGTAGGAGGTATATTTTTTTCAAGTTTTTGGAATAAAAAGATGCACATTATACAATGAAAAAGGATATCAATACAAAATGAAAACCTAAATATAGATAAACTGTTCATAGATACTCCAGGATGGTTAAATCTATTTCAAATGCCTCTCAACAACTGGGGAGGCGTGAATTTAAATAACGGTACAAATCATCATTTAAGGTTTCTTATGGCTGAATGTAGGGCATCTTTATTAGATCTTAGGAGTTACTTGTTCAGTAGACAATGTGCCATGTTACTCTTGCTTAATAAACCTTGGGAGGTTTGTATATATGTTCAACAATTATTAATAATTAATCAATTTTATCTCGAAATATTATTGTTAAAGAAAGATTATTCTTGTATGTGATACAGGTTGCGCAAAGATGTTTATCATTTGTGCATAATACATTGAGTGAACTAAGAATCTTAGAAGTACAGAAGCCTGAGGGATCTATAGAATGCTGGTCATTCCTCTGTGCATTAGAGGTTTTGCAAGCATGCCAGTTATCTATTTACAATATTGATAATAATCAACAATTAGACTTGTGCTCTTTACATATGGCCAGTTTATGGGCACTTGCAAGAGACAAGGTAAATTATCTAATTTATATATTTTACTAGGATTAATTTTACATATCTTTACTCTTTATTACTTTTTAATATTCTCAAATAATTATATATAAATGGAATAATACATAATTATATAAATGTAATTCTTAACTTCTTTTCATGGCATATTTTTTTTTCAGTTAGGAAATTTAGGAAAATTATGTGGCCTAATGCCGGGAAGTGAACCGACTAGTGAACAGTTACACACAGTTGTGTATCTTATAGCTGGTATAGGAGATTCTGAACCACAGGTAGAGAGGAAGTTAACTCCTACAGATAAATTAAAGGAAGCACTTTCGTCCAAAGAAGCATTTAAGAAACAATATTTGGAGCATGCAGAATTAGCCATGGGTACATACAAACACGTTGGACGCATTCGGTCAGCTAGATTAATTGGCAAAGAATTGGCACGATTCTATAGCGAGCTTGGTGAAAATCAAAAAGCAGTCGCGTTTCTATCTGACGCTTTAAAAACTTATATGGATGAAGGATGGAGTCATTTGGCTGCACAAACACAGTTGGAATTGGCCGAATGTTATAAACGGATGGACGATGTCGAGAAATATACTAAAGTGTGTGCAGCAGTAGCTTGTACAAGTGTTTTGCACATAACTGTACGCAATACATACTTGGAAGAAATGTTAGGATATATGAAAATGATCTCTTCGTCTCAACCATTACTCACAGAGCTCGGATATGCTTTTATAATACTCAGTATGGAAGCTAAAGTAATGGATAAGATAGTACAAGACTGTGTAGTTAGTATTGAGATAAGTGTACAGAGTTTGTTCCCTCGTGAAATAAGATGTACCAGTGCCGCTATCTCTGTAGAGGAGATACAAAAGCCATCTATACCTAATAAAAAGAAAGGATTAAAAGCACCTATTGAGCCTCCCGTACAATTGTAAGAGTTAAAATGAATAAGAAGTTTATAAACTCTTTCTTGCTTATATATAAATTTTTGTCTGTGCATATAATTCTTCATATATGTAAAAAACATTGTAAAAGCAGATTGTGGAATTGTAAAGATTATTTATATATATATATTGCTATCTATGTAACATTATATACATATTTACTGTTATATGTTTTTTTTATATATGTCTAATTTGTATTTTGTTTTGCTTCAGGTTATCAAAGTGTACATTAGAAGATATGAAATTGCTTGATCCTAGTTTGTTACACTTGCAAGTATATTGTTATTTGGATTACAAGGAAGATAGGAGTCTTGGGTCTGCTAGTGTTATTAATAAAAATACAAAGCCACTTGTGAGACGGTCAGATAGTGCAAAGCATAGAAAACCTTCAGTTAATGTAAAGGGCGATTTTAGCAAAGCACTTTCATGTGATGAATTTCTTATGAAACCTGGTACAAATACATTTATATTGACAAGAAGAGTAAATCAGCCAGGTTTATATAAAGTTAGCCAATTATCATTGGTGATAGAAGACAAATTAGAATTTTTATCATCTATATTAAATCCACGACTATGCTACGAAGTAGCAAAAACACAGCCGATGATATCTGTAAATTGCGGTAGAGATTTATTGGCAGGTCTTATTCAAGATGTTGAGTTAGTTATTTCAAGTGGAAGTACGAAAATCACTGAAGAAATGAAATTAAAATTACGCACATCACGCGGATTGACGGTGCAGTCACAAAATGTCGAAAAAGTAATGGTAAAAGAATTGGAAATATCACTGCCAACATGTGAACCATTTCAAACTATAAGAATACAATTAAAAGTTCTAGCTGAACTTCCACCAAAGAAGGATGCCTCATCTATGGAACATAAAGTATTTAACATTTGTATAATTATATTATATTCTTTTCTATTCAATAAATATTATGTTTTTAATATTAATTTTTTATATAATTACAAATAACTTATAATTTTTTTTAGTTGAATATTCAATGTCCATGGGATTTGGAAGAAAGCATACTTTTACATTTTGGCCCACCCTTAATGTCTAACATGAAGCTTCATACGGCAAAACAAAGAAAATTTGTTCAAATAGTTGTAACTGGTTTGACAAATCAACTTTTACAATTAACTGAACCTGAATTAACTACAATTACGTCGATAGATGTTACCTTTAAAAGCTTAAATCCTATTGCGGGTCAAAGATTAGTGATAGGTAATGGAATGAATGTTTCCTTTATGTGGGAACTTGAAATTGGAAAAGATGAAAGATCTACGATGCCAATAAAGACTGATTTTCGTGTAAAATATATACCAATTAGTGATACTAAAGAATTAATCGATACACATGTTGATGATGATCCATTACATATACATAATTTAGAAAGAATTGAGAAAGCATGTAGTCTTTATAGATGCAATTTTGATATTACAGATTATGTGGTAAGAATAATTATATCTCATTGATTAATGTTTTATTGTTATACATTTAAATATTCGAAATTTTTATTGAAATAAAAGAACAGTCGGATTAATGGTAACTTATATTGCAATATCTAATGTTATTAATTTTTTTCATAGAACTTATAAAATATTCTATATATATTAGAACAGTATATAACATTAATCCTTTCTTTTATTCCTAATGGTACTTTCCAGACTTTATTCACGGTATCTTCAAAAGTTGAAGCAAGTGGTAGTGGAGGAGAGTTTTGTCGTGCTGGTAGTATGTGCCATCTCTGTCTTACAGTGATGCGCGTGTTACCTAGTCTCAGCCCAAATCCTCCACCACAGTTAATGTATGAGGTTCTAGCAGACCAAACCATGTGGGCGGTATGCGGTCGGACTGCAGGCATTGTATCATTAGAAATAGTAGAAAAGCAAAGTGTTACATTAGATGTAATGCCTCTGACGAGTGGTTATTTGCCTCTTCCTGTTGTTAGATTATCTCGATATATACCTGCAACAGAATCTAAAAATGGTAAGTTTAAGCTATTTTTATATATACTTATATATAATGTATTATACTTGATTGATGCAAAACTTACTAAATTTTTTTAGAAAAGATAATTGTAATACGATCTGGAAAAAATAGTATTATTAGATTGTATGAAATTTACATAATTATTTTTTTATTTGTGTTTTATTTTAAGATATCATCCGTAATAAAAATGATTTAGGATCTGGTCCTCGATTAGAGCCATTTAGTCCAGGACAAGTGTATAATGCCAGTAAAGCGCAGCAAGTGCATGTTCTGCCAGCAGTTCCATCAGAATCGAACTAAAATTTGTAAATTGTTAAAAATGTTAAAAATGTATACATTTTACTTTCTGTACTTGGGTGTAACACTTGGGTTTAGGAGGAGCTTTAGAAACTATTCATAATTTGTTTTTGTAACATAATGAACGATTGTGTAAATATTTTTTATTATTTACACGATAAAGGTGTGTGTGTGTGTGTGTGTGTATATATATATATATATATGTACACACACACACACACACACACACACCTTTATCGTGTAAATAATAAAAAATATTTAATATATATATATATATATATATATATATATATATATATATATAAAATTAACATTTTGAAGTAAATCGACATTGAAGAATAGTTTAACATTATTTATCTAAGAGATTCATATGACAGTTTATTTCAATTTTCTATTACCAAAGTTATTCATTATTATCATATTTCAAAAAAACTTAAATTTTGCAATTAATAATTATACAATGCGATGCCATAAATTTTTTATTTAAAATTAATAACTAAAGCTATTTCTTACCAAGCATATATATGTATGTTTTGTCTATTAGAACATTTAATATATATGTAATTTGTTGTATTATATTGTATTTGTTGTATTATATTTTATATTTCAATTAGAGATTTTTGATAAAAAGATGTTATTTGTAATAATATGATGTGTATATCATATCAAAGAAATATCAGAAAATATTAATTTCTTAATGATTTTATATTCATATAATTATGATGTACGTTGATAAATCTTGTTTTAGTTATGTGTTAAACTATGTACTTATATTTTTGTCATTTTGCACATGACAAATAATAATTCTTTTCTAATTGATTTTTTACTTTTTTTATTTTACATTTATTTGGAACTTATTATTACATGAATTTCCCACACAATTTTTTTCTCTTATTTAAAATATTTAATACTATATCTTAATTTAAAAAAAAATAAAAATTTTCATCAAATGTAGATATATGTAAAATTGATATAAATATTTGTTAGCAATATATTCATAAGCTGAACATAAATTGTATTATGAATTTCTATTTTCTAAAAATTGTAAGTATAGTAATTACTACAGGTATAATTTTTTGGTACATAAATTAGTTTATTTAATGCTGTAAAATATATATATTATATATGTTATATATATATATATATATATATATATATATATGTTCTTTTAATAATATTTATATTTTAAATATACATATATATACATATATAGAGGAGAAAAATATATGAATCGCTCATATCAGTATTTATTTTAAAATTGGAATTATTAGGAAGATTTTCTCTTGTATTGTGTATATGCGTGCCATGTTTTCTAAAATGTTCTAAATTTCTATATTTATGGAATTTTTAATTTCTAAATATAGAGTAATTATAAAATATTCTTGATTATTGATATTTATATATTTGTTAAATTGAAAATGCCTCTTAAAATTCTCTCTTTTCAGTATATTTATATTATATTATATGTTTTTATTATCTCATTTTTGTATGCATATGAGACAATTTATATTACTTATTATAGTTATTAAAAATATCTTTATTTTTATTAAATTTTACGACCAAAATATGTATATATGTACAATTCATTTTCTATATATAATAGTAATAATAAGTTAAACTAAATGTGTATATATGCATATATATGTTTTTTCACATATATTTCAAAGACTTATAAATATAAGTAAATTAAAATAAATTTAAACATTTTTAAAAAATTTATCTAATTATCAATTTATCTAATTAGAGTTCAATTATTAATTTATTTTAAACTACAATTCATATCTATACTAATTTTTCTGTATGTAAAGAAAATTTTATTTATATAGTAATTATTAAAATATGCTTATGGGTACACACACATTACGATTCGTAATAATAGATATATGCACATTTAATACTCATCAAAGTTATATTGTATCATAATGTAAAAATAAACGTAAGATATACTATGTATTTATAATAATCAATATATGTGCAATGTAATTTTTTTCCATTATATATTAGTATTTCATATATCAAAGGCAAAAATAACATTAACATTTATATATAAATTTTTTAGGATATTTTCATATATGCACATTGCAATCATACTTTAGATCAAATATTGAATATATATATGTTGAATATTTTTTTTTGTAAAATTATATATTTCTAATCTATTATGCATAAATAAATATTATCTAAAAAATTATTTTATAAATAAAGCTTATTAAATGTTTAAATATTTGCATTTGGTAAATAATTCTAACAAAGCATACTGTATATAGCTAATATTATATATTGATACATATGTAAAGTTGTTTACATATATATATATATATATATATATATATATATATATAAAATGCAGATTACCACTTTTATTATTTTTTAATATACATAGAATTATAAATAACATAGGTCTACATATTAGTAGTTAGCATATAATTATAAGATAGTTATCAGAAATTTATATTTTCGGCTTTTTGTATTTCAATTTTTATTATATATATGTATATGTATTAATTTGCCAGACATTACAAGAATGATATTCATGTTAAGCTAATGAGATTGCTCCTATATGTCATCTTGTTACGCAATTTTCTAAATAAAATTATATTATATATTGCAAGTCAAGAAATACTATATACAGCAAAGATTTTATTCTTTATAAATGACGTGAATATACAGCGAAAAAATAAAATGTTTATAGTAAAAAATATATATATATATATATATATATATATATATGCATGAAAATTAATATGTAAGAAATGGTTTTGTTTGCTGTATATTAACAAAACAACTCAATATTATTTTATACAAATTAATAAATTTATTCATATACTATATGAGTTAATAAATTCTTATAACAAATAATCATTACATATATGTATTACAGTTATGATGTCAAATGCATTAATATGATTTTTGCGTGTGTATATCTTCTGCCAATTATCACTAAAGGAAGTTGTAGGTGTAAAAGTTTAACTACCTCTGATAACAGCGATGTAGATTACGATGTAGATTATGTACGAGATATATTACTATATTGTATTGTGTATGTATGTGTGTGTATACATGAATTCTTTCAATTATATTCTACATTTTCCAGTAAAATTTTTAACATGATTTTATATTTATTTTATATTAAAAGCTAGGTAGAGGTTGTTGTGTTAAAAGCAATCCAAATCGTTTCTTCATTGTGATCCTTTCTCTTGAATATTTGTCCTCTACAGAAAATCGAGCTATAAAAAAAAACAGATATCATAAATATATCACATAAAGATATTATCTACTTTGTGTAATCATTCTGTAAAATAAGATATATAGATCCAGTAAAAATGTAGTTGTTTTTAATAATTTACCTGGATGTGCTGATAATGTAGGTTTTCCATTAGGATCTATTTTCTATAAAAAATAAAAACAAAGAATTAACAACTTTAAGATATTAAATAAGAAAAAGTTTGGAATATTCTATTACAAAAGAGATAGAAAATGTTATAGCTTATACTATACAACGCGTGCATATAATTTTTATCTTATATAAAAATAATTGTACATATATAAAATTGTGTATATATAATTTATCACATATAATCACCTTTAAAGTATATACTCGCTCTCCTTTTTCGTTAAAATAATACATGAGATACATTTTAGAATGTTTCTTTGTGATATTTTTATAAACACTTCTTCTTCCTCTCACATTCGTTTTCTTTCTAACCATGCATTTGAGAGAGTAAATAATTATTTACAACGGAACGTTTGTGATTCTTATACATAGAATACACAGTAATAAGATACGATAAGATGCGACGCGCGGAGCCAATCACGTTTTTGCTTTTTTATAAAAGAGATAATCTGATTGGTTGTTGTGTCGTGTGCACGTATTGTCGCAATCTTGCGAAGGCGTCATTAGTACTGCATCGCAACGATATCGTTGCAAGTATTGTCAATTTGAAATGATTTCGCGCTGAAAAATTTTTGTTCATACATGTTCTTTTCCTTTGTGCATTGTATTTACTCGTGTCTCGCAATACAAATGTACAGTATTTTGCGCACAGTAAGTATTCTTTTAATACGCTAGAAAAATGAAACTCGATTAATCAATAGATGTATAGTCAAAGTTGATACCGACAGATTTGTATAAAATGCATATATATAGAAAAATCAATCGTCATGGATCTAACATAATGGATGCCATATTTTTGCGTTCCGCATATATTATATAAGACGATTAATTGATTTTTCCATGTATGTGTGTTTGCTTTTTGAAGCTATAAAAAAATCCATTTGAATAATATAACTGATAGAAAGTTGCAGTTGCAAATTCCTTCTTTTCGCTGAACATAATCAATAAGGTATGGATATCAAAATTAGGTATGGATATCTTTATTTTATTCATATCATTTACGCAATATCGAGCTGCTGGTGGTCGCAACCAGCGATTTATTACACTGTTGATTCCAAGAATATAAAAACAAAAAAGTTAAGAATTGTGATCATTAACACTCGAAACGCTAAAAAGACGTGCAAAATTTAGAGATTTATATGAAACATAATTTTTATTACTGTCATTCTCTTATCAATCACTTGCCGGCATTTTTGTTTAAACACAAAGATCGATTCTGGATTGATCTATCGGTCGAGGATCGAGATCATCCTAGATAAAATAAGATTCGATACAGATTCGATCTACATACGTACTTATTATCATACTTATTATCGTACTTATTATCACATTCTAACAGGCTTTGCGATGCCGTGTGACGGACGTAGGCGCGACGACATTCGCCGGTGATTAGCCGGTGATAAAAGTACGCGGCCCAAGAGATGAACAGCCGTACTCGCTGGCAGCGAGTGCGAACGTGTAGGCGTAATGACTGACAATTCCTCCTCGTATGGCCAAGTCAACGTATAGTAAGCACGCAGGCACGATGCACATTGGCGAACGCAACGAGAGCTATCCCGGATAGTCAGCTGGGGTGTCACTTCCGTTGACAGACAAATCACTGTCAGTGCTCACTCGTCGGTTTTATCGTCCGTGACGAGGCTGGAGATTTGTGTGCGATTCACCGGAGGTGGAAAGCGCATTTTCCTAATGTCACGAGGATTTTTCCGAGGTAAATAATGATTTATAGAAAAAGCCGATTATCGCGCCTCGTAAATTGACGCGTCCCGCGTCGCGAGTATGGTTTCATGGTCATTGAAAGTGAATTATAACGATGAAGCGTCAATTACGAATATTAGATGGTAGATATATAGAATATTAGATGGTAGATGTATAGAAAACATCCGTGTTGTCACTGTCATTCATTGCAAGAAGCGTCATTGATGGTGTTAATGTTATTTCCGTTGATAATTATACAATAGGAAGCGCGTAATTATCGCAATCTGTGCAAATGTCATATGCATGTTTGCAGGTAGAAATCATACGTAGACATGTGCGCAACAAAGCACTATCACATGTGCTAAAATTAATTTTAATTAACGAACTTGTAAATTAATTTATCATTAAATAAAAAAAAATTAACAAATTATAGAAGAAATCTTTAGAGTTCATTATATATATAAGTTTTCTTGAAGCATCGAATTTTTAATAATTTTAATAATTTTTAAATAAAAATTCTGTACTTTAGAAGTGTAAAAAGAATTTAATCAAAATACGCGCATTGAAAAATTGAGAACATTTTAAGTAATAATAATAATAATAATAATGATAATAATAGTGCTCTTTAAATCAAATATATATTAATTCGGATTAATAGTTTTTGAATTATTTGATGCAAATTTTATGAATTTAAAATAATCAGTAAATTTCTATTTAATCAAAATATATAATTAGTAATATTCGATATAATTGTCATTTACATAATTAAAAATCTAAATATCTTATTTCTTATCTTGTATATACAACAAGCTAGAAAATATTTAGATAATAATTTAGTTGTATGTGAAATTTATTGTATTTCGTGCAAATAAACACTCCAAATAGGAAAAGTTTATATGTATTCATGATAATCTTGAGGTTACGAGGGAATTATTATTATACCGATAAAAATAGTACTTTTCATATCAACTTCTGTCCATAAAAAATAATCGTACTGATATCGTCAAAGCAACTTTAAATCTGCCTTATAGTACTAATCTCATTCAGTCTAGTGATTAAAACCAATCGCGATTCATGTTGAGCATTTTTAGAGTTTGTTGGATTATCGATTGCAACTATCACGTGTGCAGTTTGTTTTAGATGCAGCGGAGGAAAATTCGTTGGATTATTCAAGTATCGGAAGAACCGCGGCATGTCGAAACCGTCGAGGAGCAAATCTTAAGCACGAAAGGTAAGAATTCAAAAAATAAGATTTCAAGATTTAAAAAGTGATTCTAAATGATTAAAAAAGCAACTGTTAATTTTTTAAAGGCTCTTCGAATGTTATTTAAACAACTTTTGCATCATTAACATTATACGTATCTATTTGCAAATATATCAATTGCGCAAGTCAATTATCTGTAGAGGCTTGCAATTATATATTGTTCGGTTAATGTATAAATGTATTTATTTTAATTTAATTTAATCTAATTCGTGCGCGCTAAAACGAGTAATCATTGTGTGTGTAAAATTACAATTACAATTTAATTGATATATTATGTGATCAAAGATAATCTGTTGAGTAATAATACCAAGATATATAGTTGTCTAATTATAAATTTAGCAATGATTTCATTGAAAACAGCTTATTTATAACAGCAATGTTTAGAATTAAATACGAGATTCTTCATTAGATTGACGTAGATAAATTATTACATATATAAATGAATAATTTTTATGCCAGATCTTTACGCGCGTGAACTTCTGTTTTATGAAGTTTTATTGTAAGCACAATTCCTGAATACAGATATCTCAAGTTGTACATTTGGTCTGATAAGAGAAGGTCGCGATATATACATACGTAATATATTAATCATACTGATTTTTAATTCCGATCTCTTTACGAATTCTTATAAAACTGTCATAAGTGATACATCAAAAACTGAAAAATTCAAAGGATTTAGTTCAATTTGAATAAAATTAGTTCTTTTCTACCTTATCGCGTCTAATTGCAAGTAATAGTATTTTATTCAATCTATCATAAAACGTGATATCACGCATACCGTTTGCGTGATTATAAATAGAAATGATCGGTGCAACATTACGTTTTTGCATCACACTTTATTCGTCGCGCCTTTGTTTATTCATCACTTCACTTTTCAGTATATATATATATGTATGTATATATATATATATATATATATATATATATATATATATATATATTCGATTTAGAACGTCTTCCGTTGTCTGACGCGTAGTTTCTACCTCTTCCGGTCTTCCTATTGTCTTTCCGTGAAATTTCTTTCATTCATTAATTTTCTTATTTCTTCCACCCACTTTTTAGTATAACATCTTTTTGTAGGTGATTACTATCGTCTCTTATATGATAAATTCCTACGGTTTATGGATTTTATTCGCGCTTTTTTTCTCTTGCTTAATTAAATTTACTTTAAACCATGTAAAAAAATATAACGTGCGAAATATTGGTGGCGCCGATAACGTAAATTCACGCTGATATTGAGGCAATTTCGTTTTGTGTACTTAACCGTTAGCAAATAAATCAAGTGACTGCACTCGACGACGGATGTCCCAAGGCGCAATCGGCAATGGTGCATCCGCACGAAAAGAGATCACGCTATCGCTCTTTATCTATAATTTTATTTTTCGATAATATAATAATTTTTCGATAATATAAACCGTTAAAATATTGGCAAAATCTACAATTTAAAGAAAAAGATACTATAGGAAAAGATATTTCTGCAAAGCTTGTGTCAATCGAGAAAAAAAATTCAGATATATAAATATTAATGAAATCTTTTTCGATAGAGATGCATCTTATGAGCTTTATCGCATACATTTTGTGCACACTAATCGATTGTATAAATCTATACGCCAAACGCGGTGTTTGATGCGTCGGCGCTATAACTTGTGGAGAGATCACCCGCAGGGTCGAAATCTAGATACCGCGCAGTGTTGTAACGGGCTGCGTCCCATGAGGTCGTTCCGAGTTATGGAAAGTCAGAAATCCACTCTTATTATAGAAGTTCCCTAACTTCATAGACACGTTGTACTTTCCGTGGATCGCGACTTGAGAATAAGTGTTTGACAAAATGTGCAAAAGCGAGTGAAATGAACATGCTTAGGGGATGCAAAATTCTTCTTAAACTGTATTTGCAAAAATATAATATGTATAGATAGGAAGAAGTTTCTTTGCCAAGTGATGACAAAGATCTCGAGTGATGTTACTTTCCATTAGCAGATGAACAAGCGGATTTGTTGTTTTGTTACCGAGTCAGTAATCGAATTATGATCGTTTTAAATGCTAAGCGTATCATAAATTTTTCCTAATTTTACTGTGCTTTCTACTATAAGTTGATTTTATTCGTAGAAATTTTCATACCGGGTATTAATCAATTTAAAAATTCATGAATAATAGCTACATACATAGTTGTGCAAGAATAAATTTTATAAAAAAAAATTAGAAAAATTTGTATATATTATCAAATTATATAATAAATTGATACGAGATCTAAATATATTTTTATGTCGATTAAATTGACGGTCATTCTATATATCGTTTTATCATAATTGCCAATTTGACTTTGGCCGATTTAAATCACAATGCACGGATGTAATTAATGCGCAGTCAGTTATATCAAGATGACAAATACATACACAGTGATCATTTAATTATAAAAGTAATATATTGCATACATATTTTACTATATATTTCGAATTATTTGGGTATTTAGAGGATTGAAAGTTAACTATGTTATAAAATATCAATTTACATTTCGTAATTATATTATGATATTGAAAATTGATCATAACTTATACAAAATTGACCGTAATATTTAATTGTACCATAGCGTATTATTAATATTATTATTATTATTTCTGTTTTTATATTTATATCAGCTACATCAATTATATAAATGTCGTAATCATTTTTTTAATTATGTTAAGAAATTCGTGTTATCGGTTTGCTATGTATCATAATAATACACATGTCCAAAAGACGTCCAGAGAACATCCAAAAGATAGTCAGGGGATACTTTAAGTCTTCTGGATGTCCTATGGATGATCTCTAGACGTCTTTTGAACATGTGTACTATTAGGATGTGTATTAAAATTTAATCAAATGATTATGAAAAAATATATAGTAGATATATAATTGAGATATAAAAAATCGTGTGGTGAAATATAAATTCTTTTGTAAAACTTTCTATACATCTATATGAAGTTAATAGAAAATGGATGATGATATATGTAAGTATAATCAATGATTAAAGTACATTTTCGTTATTGCACGTTTTTTTTTAAATATATGTGAAATTTTTTTTAAATATATGTTAAATGTATGTGATTCTTATTAATATTAATTTCGTGTGTATTAAGAATGTATGTTTTTATAATTTCACAAATATTCTGAAAAATTCTCTTTCTTTCTGTTTCTTTCTTATTATTTATGATTCGAAATAATAACAAGAAATATGTTGATATATGTGAAACATTTAAAATTTTAATTTGATATTGTCAATTTGGCTGTATTTAGCATAATAATCATTTTCTACCATTCTTTAAAGAGTATCAAAAATACTTGAAGTAGTGCTCACACATTTTACTCGTTAATTTTTGATTCACTGTCTTTTCTTCTAGAAGGACATGTACACAAGATTATCATAAATATGTGCAGCTCATCTTTATGTAAAACCATAAAGAATTGATAAATCTAATTTAACTCTTAACTTGTACAATATAATAATATTATCTTTCTTTTCGCCACGAGTTAAAAAGTAAAGTAAAAGAAATTTAATTTACTGATAAATGTAAAATGTCATAAGTCTTAAAAAAAAAAAAACAGACAAAGATTGCAAAACAAAATTGCGGCAAAATTTGCTTGCAGTTTTATTTAATACGCATTAGTTATTTTTTAAGTTAGTTAAAATACACAATGACTGTTGACAGTGAGAATGTTAGAAAGGATAATAGTGGCACTGTGTGTTTTCGTAAACTATTGTTCTAAGTGGTCTAAATATTTCTACGGTTAACAGAATGTTTATTTTCCCCTGTCAGAAACGATATGCTTGTTTAAAACTTTTCTACATTGCTGAATAAAAATGTCTAAGATAGCAATAAACATCCATAAATTTATCGAAAATTCGAAAAATTTTAAATTCAAATTTAAGAAAAATATTTAAATATTAATTATTATATTATTAAAATTGCAATAAAAATTACTTTGAAAGCGCACTTATATACGTCAATGATGCTTAAATACATTTTAACATTTTAAAAATTATTTAAAATTATTTATAACTATATTCGCTTATAAAAGGTACTATGTTTTGATGAAAGAAATTTTTATTATCATTCGTATTATATTTAGATAGCATTTACGTACAATGAATGCAGCTAAGATAGTAAATTATGAAAATGTTATCGCGAAATGGGAGGAGTGTCATAAAAAGAATGTCATATCGCAGACGTCTCCAGACAAAAATAGAGACATGTTCTTTGAGAATTGAGCGGTAATCTCTTTTGACTCTTTGTGGTCTCATGAGTCTTATAACTTTGGAAATAGAGGATAGTTATCTCCTGAAATTACATGAGTAACACACACATTTTACAGTCAAATTTTCAATCAAAAATTCAGGGACGTGAATCATTATTTATTATCGCAACTTTGTTGAGAGAGATATAAGTTTTATCAATAATTTGATTAATCGATTAAGACTTTTTTGATATTATATTTTATCGTTTATTGTATCATATAAAGTTTTATTTGTGGTATCATATATTTATTTTTATTGATAATTCTTTCGATAAACATATTTCAACAAATAATTTTTCGATAAACAATTATTACTTCTTATGAGATTGTATTCTACATTAAATTAATATTTTGATAATTAAAATTTAAAATCAAACATGATGATGGTATGGCATAATACTGAAATTATATTTAAATTGAATAATAATTAAAAATGAAATGTAAATGTAAATTTTTTAATTCGTAAAAAAATATTTCTTACTCTTTGATATTAAATTATGTTTTCAATTAAATTTTTATCAATATAGATTAAAAATGAGTAATGAATTACTACAGTGCTCTGCATTCTTTACTTCGATATGTAGATATGAATTAAAATGTTTAGAATGTGCACAGAAAAATACTGTTTTAAAATATTGATGATTCGCTTCATATCATTCATAACCACAGTAGTATTAATTGGCATTACTATAAACAGATTCTAGATATGAAATTAATTAAATCTGTGCTCATAATGCGCGAATCAGACATGCAGCCATGCGCAACGTTATCAGTGAAGCCAATTTATAATGACATCAAGATGCTATCTCTGGGTTATTGACACGAGCACTTCCGTGGCACAACACATGCATCTACTATTGAGAATATATATTAGCATTGATACAAAGTGTAGTAGTATCAGTAACAAAGATTAAAATTTCCGATTCAGCATTTCTCTATACGGTTTTAATCTGGATTATTATTAAAATTATTCGAAATTAAAAACTAATACTGATTGAAAACTTTACGGTATAGAATAGAAATATAAAACAGAATTGAATCGAGCATTATAAAATTTGTAAAATTTACTTTAAATATGAAAACCTAAGGCAAATACGTTACAATTTATGAATATGGCTCTTTTACTTTAAATTTTTTAAATGATAAGGGGATGTGTAAAGTTCTCTGAAATAAATTTTTATACAATTTTGTCTCTAAAACAAAATTTAAAAATACATTTTAATATACAAAAGTACAAAATTCCATGCTTATTTATAATTATTTATTTTCTAAGTTTAAGATTGTTTCATGCATATATAATATATATATATATATATATATATATATAAAATTGTTAATACAAAATATTGCTAATTTGTTACACCTATATTTCATATAATGTACGTATGTGAATGTGTAAAAAAAGAATATTAGTGTGCACATATTAATATGTACATAAATTTCTTCTTCTCTCTCTTTCTTATTATGTATCTGCTATTTAGATAATTAATTGTAAATATGAGGTTTTCAGTTAGCAAATCCCAGGGCCCACGTCTATATCTGTTTCATCCGTAGAATACTCCTTCTGCTTTCTGAATTCCTGTTTACCTGTGATCTGTTGGGCCTTATAATCAACGAAGCAGACTGTAAGGCCCAACCTACAATAAAAAGACCGCTTGAAATTATTTACGTTTTATTTACAAAAAATTGCATCGCAGATATCTTTAAAACGTATTATGTAGAAAGTATATGGGTATAATTTTATATCGAAATGAAAGAAATGATGATAAAAAATAACTAAAAATCATACTCGATACAGAGAATAACATTTTTTTTCAGAATATTAAATATCTTTTACACACATATTCTATTACTTTTCTGGATTAATTATCTATAGAGATTAGAGATTTTGCAGATCTAAAAAATTTTCGATTTATACAAATAGATTCACATAAACACATACAAGGAATTATCTTTGTTGACGTCTATTTTATTTCTCTTTCGACTATTTTTTTTTGTTTGTATCAACGGAGATGTGTGTACGATTAATATATATATATATTTTTTTTTCTTTTTTAATTAATTTCTCGTGCGTACTCGAAAAGGCCCACCGTCTTTGGAGAAAGGGGAAATTCTCGCGATTGGAGCAAGTAAGAGGGCAATATACGGCGAAGACGGATGCGCGGCGACACGAAAACGGAGTTACACTGTCGAGATATATCAGGGTGGGAGAAGCTGGGCCTTACAACAAGCCGTCCGAGGTTGCCAGTTCGCTAGTGGCACGGCTGACGCGCGTTGTGTTTGGAGCAGTCGTCGATTGACGTTAGCTCGCGTGAGAGCTTCGTGTCGTTTCGTTGTTCCCCCTGTTCCCCCTTCCCGCGATCAGCGTCGTTCACTTTCCATCCATCGACGTTAGTATAGTAGAACCGCGTCGAAAGATCGCTCGATCGATCGGGATGTCACCAAGTGTTTCATCCTGTCGTCTTCGGCTAAGACGACGGTTGTGAAGGTTGAAACGTCGTCATCTTGTCCGAGAGAGAAAGTTAAAAAGTTAACACGCACGAGCCGCGCGTGCGACGACGAGAAGTGCCTTAATTCGGTATACACATGTTGTGCGTGTGAGTGAATGAGTGTCGTGTACGGATGCACGGTGCCCCTTGACTTGTCAATGCGGAATCAACAAGTGGCATAGCAGCTGAGCGTGTGAGCGCGTGCGCGCGCGCGCGCGCGAGTCCCGATTCTAACCTCCGCGGATCAGCGGCGATTCCTCTCGCTTATTTACGCGCGCTCTGCCACCGCCAACGGCGAGTATCGCGCCGGTGATTAATGTGATCTCGCTGTGTGTGCCCCCCTACCCCGCCCCCGTTTCCTTGCAACGCGTGCCCTTGGATATTACGTTGGCTGCGATCCGGTGTCGGCTACGTCCGAATATCTCAAGATGGAAGTCGTCTATATAGGTGCGTGTATATGCGTGTTTTTTTTATATACCTTACGTATACGTGGTATACATGTGGGTATGTGTGTGGGCGAGTGGATATTGTATGTCGCCGAGTTTCTTACTGCAACGCGACAAGATTCTTTCTTCGTGTGATCATCTTGCGCGTGTGTGCCGTTCGTACCTGGCGAAATCATGCAAATCTCTTTCTCAGGATCGTTTCCATCTTCTACGGCCTTGATCTCGAGCGATCGCGGCAAAATCTGACACGATTCCTGTAGATAAGAGTTCACATATTTTAACAATCTTACATTTTAAACTTGACACGTTATTTCTCGATGATGTGCTTGATAATCGATATTCAATGAGTTCATAATCGTTTCATTAAACCGACGGTTATCGCTTTTTGAGATTTTGCAACAATTATTAGGTTCGGTTCATTAACATTCCAAATCGAACAAAAAAATATGAGCAATCATGAATCATCGAGTAAGCAGACGTTAATTATTTTAACGTTTTCCAGTTTCTTATAAAAAATAATTTTTTATAAAATTATTTAAATAATACTTTTTCATTGACATTTGCCGATACTTGCTTGCTTTCGTTTGCTTGATTTAAACTCGCTTCATATTATTATGACATTCGTCATAATTATCCTATTGACTCTATTTATCAACCATTTATTATAATTTTGACATGTCTTCTCGTATCATCGTGTACAATCATTTATTATTTATGGGTTTCCTTCTGATCTTAATTAGCTGATATTGTTTTGTTGTTTTAATATGTATTTTTTTTAATCATTTTCTCAAACATATTGTTCTTGCGAGAGACATACAAATATTTAAATATGAAATAGAAAGTCTAACATAAGATATATATTATCTATGAATCACACACACACAGTATTAATTAATTTTAGTTTTCAAATTTTATAATCTTATAAAGTATAAAGAAATTCTTTCTCTTTATCTTTCTCTCTTTCTACGTATTTGTATATTTCAATAAATACTTCTAATTTTGATTTCTTTTATATGAAAATTGCACATTTATTATATGTAAATTTGAGAACAAAATAGTTTATGGAAGACCGATGTAAATAAGATATATAAATATTTTAGTTGTATTTTTTTCTAATATTATTTATATATTAATATTATATTTTAGTTAAATTATTTTATTAAGTAATAAATACTTGTTATGTTAATCGTATAAATATTGCATCGTGAAATGTGCCAATTATTTAATTTATTAAATCAAATTTCTTATCTATTATTTATTATCAAATTTATTATCAAATTTCTTATCTATTGTCAAATTTATTATTAAATATCTTTTTTATGTATAAATCGCGCGATTCGACAGTGGGCTATTCTCTTTAATAAATATCTGTCTCTATTAATATTTCTTAGTACAATTACGTGTTCGAGAATAACGTACGTGAGCATCGCGATAATCTGACATTGTCTTTTGTAACAGCATGTTACCGGCTATATATTTAAGCAGTTAACTTACATTTTTCATGTTATTCACTCATACTAAGCAATGATGTTATCTATGTCTATATAACTTATCTTATCTTGAAATTATTTGCGCTCGGGTACTCGGCTAAACATACGTCAGAGAATTGAGAATCGGTATAAGTGTACATATATACATGTTACGAAGGATGCACATAGATAGATAGGACTCATAACCGTTAACAACTTGAGTCTAGCGCGCACGTGCTATACCTTATGCGTGCAGAAGTCGTTGACAATTGGCAAAGTGCGATACGAATTCTTTATTAATTGTTAGATGCGGGGGATATCTTTTAAATTAGATATCTTCTGACATTAAATTAAATTAACGTATTACTAATTGACATAAAAAATATTACAGCTTTTTTTAAAGATCGTTGACGATGTATACAATATGTCATATGGTGTGTGTCTATTAAATCAGTGCAACAAAATATTTAGTTTATATTTGAATTTTGCAAAATCTTTTTAATTATTATCAGAAGACAATTTCTTGGTAATTGATTACGTAGCAGTTGAAAGAGCATTACTTTATGATAAATTATATTTAAATTCGTTTTATATATGATTTATATATTAAATCGCATATAAATATAAGGAAGTTTTACAAATTTCTATTAAGCCGTTATAATAATTATGTGTTGTATATAAATTACATAAGTAATTATCTAATTATATAGATAAAAATATTAATAATATATATTAAACAACACATCAACATACGACGTAATTTCATACATTATTACATACTTGATGAGAATAGATACAATGGGAGTACATATATTCTATGAGGTCGTTATGCTTTTAACGAGATTAATACATTTACTGCAAATTATCTCTTATAATCTATTCTCTCTCTCTCTCTCTCTTTCTCTCTCTCTCGATTACATAATACAGCGTGCTTCATAGAAAAATGACGTTTATGTTATTAAATTATATCAATTTCATTATAATGTACGCTACAAATTTAAATACGTAATCATAAATTATACATATATGTAAAGAGAGAGAGAGAATGAGAGGAAAGGGGAGGAGACGAGAAGGTAAAGATTTCTTATTAAGATTTCTTTAAAATAAATTTAAAAAAATTTATAATAAAATATTTGTACTGGGAGGAGGGAGTAAAATTTGATTGTCATAATCCTTTCTTAAATCAGGATAAAAATTCATTACATCATGATGTTAACGATTCCACTTAAATGCATCAATTATATTATCGATTGGATTAGTTGCTTCCACCCGACTATAATGAAATAAAATGACATTAGGTAGATCCCGACTATAATGAAATGAAATGACATTAGGTAGATCCCGTGCGTCTCTAAATAGATATGTCTGGTATCTGTGATGTGATCGTCGTGTGAGAAAAGTAGAATGTATCGCGTTCTATATGCGAGCTCTTGATAATTTCGCTGGCCACCACACCCATTGACGTAGTTAAATACTCTCACGAGAACACGCATTGACTTTATTCGGTCCCATCAGAACGCTTGACCCGCGAAACCTTTCGTAGTGCCTGGTTAGGGCCAACGACACGCACTCTCCTCCAACAGAGGAGAAGTGTGCCATGCTCGTGCAGCCGGTGGTAGTCCGCATTGTCAGCTCGTTTAAACAATTGTTCATGCTACGCAGCCGGCTTGTTCGCTTAGCATATACGGTGCTCCCAATGTATGCGCCATGGAATTGAAGGGATTCACTCAGTGACGCATTTACATTTTTGTCGTTCTAAGCATTTTGATCTTTGGATATCTGAACGAATATACGGTTAAAAAGGATTAATATTTTATATAATTATAATTACCGTCAATTTTCAGCTAATCATTTTTACTAAGAAAAAACAATTTTTATTTTATTTTAAATAAAATTATCATAATAATACGTATGATATATGGGTGAATTATCTCAAAAACTTTTAAAATCGATAAATGATTTGTTAAAAATTTTACCATCCTGGATATTGATTAATATTTTAAACGCATATTATGTATTAAAATTCCCTAAGAAAAATTACTGTGACATTATATTTTCAATTATTTTGCTAAGCAGGAAACTATATTTTATTTCGTTTTCTTTCATATGAATCGCATTTAATATGAAGCGAGATTCAGACGACTTTTAGCATTAATGATATGCGTGTAAAAATATTACGTACGTATATAATCTCTACTTAGTGTCACACGCAGCGCTAAATACAGTCATCGGATTCTGGATTTTATTCCTCTTATATGAAGACTGCATCCATTGCCAGCATGGGGTAAAAAATAGTTAACTGCATTTAACTCGCTAAACGCGCAGCGAAAATGCAAGTTGAATTGGCTGAAAGATTAACTGGTGATAAACGGCGCGTTGCGGCGTTCGTTCGATTAGGTTGATTGGTTTTTTGCGTGCGAATTTGCACTTTTCACAAAAACCAATCGCATTACTTCGGCAAAGCAATATAAAATGTATAATCGATTTTTTTCGCTGAATAAGCGATAGATGCACATCGAATTCTTTTTTTTTCTATCATTTCGATTCTCCTTGTTTTTCTCATTTTCCATTTAATAAAGAGGGAAGGAATGTTTTTGAATCTGCTTCCAAAAAAGACTTAAAAAAACATTTGCAGATCAATACCTCGATAATTTTCAGTTATTTTTATTCGCGAATTCCAGTAAAACAAACGGCGAATTTTATCGGTTTATACTAAACAATTAGATTAACTTGGGATAAAAGATATTTCTTTACATTTTAGTCGATAATATGACGGAAAAAATAGCACAACTTTAGCGACTGATAGAGATTTCGCTCTGATAGTGATATTGCAAAATAAATATAATTTTTAAGCACATACGTGAAATCATTACATATCTGTTATTCACTTCACAGTTAAAAGTGGTCGTTAGATTATTTAATCAAATAAATATTTTATATTATAGATTGACACTAAAAGCGAATTTTATTGTCAAAGTTGTTAAAAAAGACTTGGAATTGAGACTTTTTTTAGACTTGTTTTTTTTCGTCGAAGAAGCCTTCTAATAGCAAAGTTATGTACGTGTGTGTATGTGTATAAAAAATTATTGATGCAAAGAATAAAATCATTAAAATAATCTTTTTTGGTTAAATAAAATATTATTTGGAAAAATAATTCTTTTCGCGAGATTTTTCTCGAGACACGTTCAATTTTTTTCCTTAAATTCTCTTGATAAATAATTTGACGATTTTAATAAGAAAAAAATATGCATGCATTAATTACAACTAAAACTACTAAAAAAATAGTATAGCTTTTCGATCCGTCAAAATAGATATTTCTTTCTCTTTCTTTAAGTGTCGAAACACACAATTAAAAACAGAATATTTTGCAATATTAGAGAGCGAAAGCTAAAAAATGCACTGTATTGATCGCTGATATATTCGAAAGTTTTCATAACTGGAAAAAGGAGAAGATGGTTTTATAGCAGTTAGTTAAGTTTAGCGGTAACTTCTGATGGCTAGTACTATTTTCCCGACAAAGTGTGTTATTGACATGTTAACGGTGTTATATGTTGCGAACTTGCGGTTCGTTCAACCCTCGCGATTGTCGGTTATGCGAACGCAGCTTTCATCCCGTTAGCAATTCAACGCAATGAGCGATTATCGCATCAAATGTGCGATACGTATTCTTATTTTTTATTGTTTTATAGAATAAAGCGCTGATTTCCCGATAAAAACTTATATCTCTATTTTTTAATGACAATTTCTTTAGATATTTAATTTTTTTTCCTTTGTAAACTCGTCACATAACTTGATGTATAACTTCTCATTTAAAATAACTAAATTTACGTTAGATACGTCATAATGTTTTTAACATATCACATCATTATTTTAATTTTATAAATAATTCGTATTATGGTATCAAAGATATAATTGAGATTCAAAAGATTAAGTTAAATGAAGATATGGAACGATATATAAAGATATATACGATTAATAAAGATATTAATACTTTACCGATATGAAAGACAAGCTGAAGACAAAAGTTATAAAAAATGCACTGCTAAACAAGTATAGAATCTGTCTTGAGTGAAAATTAAATATCTAATCGAAATATAATTTTGTTCGAGATTCACAAATTCATTAAAGTTTGGATCTGTGATAATAATGCTCTAATTGTGTTTAATTATATTTTCTTGGATATTTATGACTTTCTTTAAAAAGATAGAAAGAGATAATTAAAGTTAAAAATAAAATATACATCAAAAATATGTTATAAGAAAGATAGAAAAAAAGAACAATTAATTAATGATGACACGAAGAATAATAATATAAATATACATTTTATTCATTGCTAGAATTAAAATATTGAAATTGTAATGTTAAAACGCAAATGTATATAGAATTGTATGAGATATTAAAATATAATTTTTTATGAACAAGTGCATTTTAAACTGCACATTCATACTGCATATGTGCTAATTTATAGCAAGGCAAAGTATTTACAGACACACAAGTTCTCTGTTTGCTTAATGGCGGTATGCTACCGTTTATACTGCATGCTTTGAAAGAAAACGAGCGGATGTGCGTACCTAAACAAAGTTGTTAAATGTAGAACAAATTATAATAAATATTTTTTTAACCAATTTGACATAAAATACACTCTATTATAAAACAACGACAATAATAGTATGCTTAATGATAAGTTTAAATAAAGATCATTAAACTTTGATTTAATTTTTTTTTCCTTAATATCAATCTTCTATCTGTATTTTAATTTCTTTAATTGTGTCCTTTTAAGATCTTTATCGGATTAATTATTCTCATTAAATATATTGGTAAACGTGTCAGTGTTGTTTCTCATTTTCTTTTTGCAAACAGGAGAAATCACTTTATACACACACACACACATATATATATATATATTTAATCCTCGGTATAATACAATAAGATTCTTTAACAGAAGATATAATGTTCAGAGGAAAAAGAAATCGTCGAATCCAGATCTTGTTGCGCCATATTCGGGAATGTCACATTTTCACAGGGCTGGGCGAAGATATTTATTGCCCTGAACATAAAATTACACTACAATTAATTTTGCATATTTTTATATACTAATCCCAAAGTATACTTTTTCGCAAAAGTCATCAGTCACGAGTCATCATTAACTGTATATACAATTTTAACTGTAATACAATTTTATATATATTTTTTCGTATATTTTTGCAAATTGAGTTTATTGAGTATATTTATTATTGCATAAGATTTCAATCAATCACTGATTAATATTAGGTTTGAATTCATTAGTTTCACGTTCCATCATTTTTCATTACATGCATAGAAGCATGTTAGAAGAAATTACACGCAGTATATTTTTTATTAAATTTTAATCCAAAAGTGTGATATAAAAATATATATATAAAATATAAAAGAAAATAAAAGATGTTACGTTTTGATCACGTTTCTGTACATAAAATATTATATAATAATATAAAATATTATATAATAATATAAATGCGAAAGAAAAAAAATTTAATCTGTTTTTAGTGACAATCTTGTTAATTTTAATGACAGCATTTTCCTAGTCATTCTGACTTTTCGAGATAAGCTAGAGGACAACCAAAACCCGCACGAAATAGACTGTCTTTTGCTTACATCGAATTTACGACTTACTTTAGGAAAACGTGATCACCATTTACGATTTCTTTTCGTTTGCGTGTTCCGCATGTAAATTACGTTTCTTGAGAGATAAATATACGTTCATTCATTCATTCATTTATTCGCAAACGACTTTGTCGGTTAATGTTTTTCTTAAGACTTGTTAAAATGCGCGATTGACTATGGAATGACTTTCAGATTCCAAGTAAAAGCTTCATGTTGTCACTTATCACATACATTGGCAGTGTGTTGTGTTTATTGCGGAAACTTTTTTACATTTTTCCGGATTAACATAAGATTCGTTTTAAAAGTGTACGATTATTGGACGATACTATAGAATGCATATTAAGGATTTTTCCGAGTATATTTGATAAGTTGATAAGAATTATAATTTGAAAGTTACTATTGGCAAGGCAAAGTCTCTTCTTCTATTGCAATGTGCGATCGCGAATTGTTTCTACGTGGCGCTAATTTAATATGCAACGATGCAAGAGTGCACGTGTCTACGCTTATCTAAATATAATTTTTCAGGCGTGTCAGTATGCTGGAAGGATATTTTGCGAACGTGCGGGAGTAGCGACTCCAGATTAATAAACATTCTGAAATGTGCGAAAGCTGACATCATCTATCATTCTATTTTTATCGACATTGCCGATATTCGTGGCTTCCTTATAAGCCGGTTGCATCACGACCATGAAATCACCATACGATCAATTCCGTCACTCTATGCGATAGATGACAATTATGCGTAGAATATTCATGCGCTTAATAATCCTATAAAATAAACAGGTGCTATTTACAATATATCGTGAATTTCTACTGGTCGACCTAAATTTTGAGAGTTTACTGCTCAGTCATCGGGGTCAACTAATGTCAACGTGATAGATAGCGATGAGCTGCCGTTGCTGCGTTGGCAATAATTCTATGAGAGACTAAAACCGTCAGTGGATCAATGACTGTTGTTCCACTTAATGCATTATAAATTGCTACAGTATCTCAACCATTAAAGCGCGAAACGAATAATTGAGAATCTCAGAGACAAAGTGACGTTTCTGTTAATTAAATATTAATTTTCCTTGGAATATATATAAACTATTATGAAATAAATATATCCTTTTAATTTTCAAAAAAAAACAGTTTGCTTCTAAATTTCGAAATTTTTAGTTATTTTTTCAAGAGTGACATGATAAAATAATTGCAAACTTTAATTTTTGACTAAAACATTTTAACTTTAATTTTTGATTATAATGCAATAATAAATCTACATTAATTTATTAAAGTTAACATCTCAACATTCGAAAAAATTAAATTTTTATATGTCATTTGATTGCGCACTATATTATATATGCTGTTTTTTAAATTTCTCTACTTGCATTCATTTAGAAAGATAGTTATTTAAAAAAATTTAGGAAGAACATTAACTTCACATCCCTAATCCCTCAATTCTTTACAATATCATTTTTAATTAACATAATCAAATTTTTACTTACCGTAAGTTAAATTTTTAATGAAAAATGTTTAATAGGAAACTCTTGAAAAGCCTTTATATTAGGCTTTATTTCATCTATCAAATGAATTAAAAATTTTTAATTATTTAATTTGATAGGTGCAATATTCAATATACATATTTTCATTTGCACATATATTGATGTAATATTATTTAAATATGCTAACACAAATAAAATTCAAAGTAATGATTATAGTACAATTGATATTCAGAGTAATTTGTACATATATATGTTTATCAGATTTTATAATATTATTTGACGTAAGATATTATCTATTTAATATTTAATTTATATAATATTGCGTTTTACACACAATATTAAGCATTGTGTATGTGTGTGTATGTTTTCAATGCAATCTTTTTCTTAAAATATTTTAAAATAAGTGAATTCTAAATATTTTATTACAACGATTAATAATAATGTTGCAGATGAGCGAGAAGATGTACAGAAGAAAACGTTCGCCAAATGGATAAATTCGCAGCTTCTTAAGGTAAAAGATCCATACTTCATATTCGAGGAGTATCTTATCACTGCTCACTTGTTATCATAGTATTACGAGGAGTAGTTTCGCTCTTAAACCTGTTTATGCATGGAATGTAACAAATACCTACTTGTCACATGTGTTCGTTTCTATATTCGTTATCTGCATCATACACGATGTAATAACTTGTCGAGAGATACTCCTTCGGAGAAAGAATGCGAGAGACGGATGTTTAATCTGTCTTACTTTCTGCAGAATCATCACGAGCCGATCAGCGATTTGTTTGTGGATTTACGAGATGGAAATCGTTTGTTATCCCTCTTGGAAGTGCTCACTTCTAAAACTTATGTAAGTATGTCGCAAACTTATCTCGGCTACAATAATCGTTTAGCGGTGATCCATAATTTTGCACAAGTTTTTCCGTGTCATACTTGAAAGCGCTGTTAAATCGCAAAGCCAATCATTAGAATATCTTTTATGTTAGCTTCAGGCGCTTTCTAATAAAATTATTCCTCATACATCTCACGTCAGCACATGCACACATTCACGTTAGCGAATTGCGAGCAGGTGCACGTGCATCGGGAATATTTGCATAAGAGTGCATGATTATGAATACGCGGTAGGCGTAAGAATGTTCCATTCTCGAGATGTATATAGCACCCCGGCATTTGTATTACCCTACGCAGGTGTTCTCTTTCATCGTTGAAATTTATTTTGTACAATGGGTATAGAATTGGTCGTAATGTAAGGATTATATTAAAACAAGTTGCGCGAGAAGGCCCAGTTAATTTTATCTTATTTTTTTAAGTGAAACAATACATATTGTTTGTTACAGAAAAGAGAACGCGGTCGAATGCGAGTGCATCATCTTAATAATGTTAACAAAGCATTGCAAATTCTTGAGCAAAATAATGTAAGTACAAATATAAATAATGTGTAAATAATGTAACTACAGCATTTATTATTATTATTATTATGTTTGCAAGCATGCTATATTGTTAAACAAACTCAAACTATAAAACAAATTACGCGAAATATTTTAATAGAAAAAAAGTGTTTAATAAATAAAGATTTTGGCGTGTAAATATATAAATAATGCTACACAATAATATATAATATTTTAGGTGAAACTTGTCAATATTAGTAGCAATGATATTGTTGATGGTAATCCGAAATTGACACTTGGTTTGGTGTGGAGTATTATTTTACATTGGCAAGTAAGTTCGATGGTTACATACATGATATATGATTTTCACTTAAATATTAAATATGTTATATACAGATTAAATATATTAAATTATATTAAATTATAATAAAATTACTTTTATTTTGTTACGTGATTTAATATGTTATTCGTTATGATTCAAAATGTTATTCAACCTTTGTCATATATGATATACATATTTATTATATATACTTGTATCATTATTATTAACTTTTTCATTAATGTGTTTCATCAGGTACATTATCATTTGAAAGATTTGATGACAGAATTACAACAAACCAATTTAGAAAAAACACTTCTTGCATGGTGCCGTCAAAATTCCCAGGTAAAAATGATATAGATACGTATTGTTAAAAATAAATTAAAGCAGGCATATTTATTTTTATATGCAATATCGCTTTTTTCAGAATTATCCTGGTGTTGATATTAAAAATTTTACAACATCTTGGTCGGATGGATTGGCGTTTAATGCAATCTTACATAGATGGAAACCTCATTTGTTTGACTTTAATAATATCGCGCGTAAACATCCAAATGCTAGATTGGATCACGCTTTTCGACTTGCACAAGAACATCTTGATATCGAACGTCTTTTGGATCCTGAAGGTTATTTAATTTAATACATATATATCACATTAATATTAACAATATATAGTATTAACAAAATTAATTTTTTAGTTTTCCCTAGTTTTATATATTTGAAAGATAAAATTTTACATAATTGTCTTTTGCATTTTTTAAATTTTCTTATTTTATTTTTATTATAAATATGCAAAAAGTTATTAACTCTATCAGCTTATATAATAACCCAATGTTTATTTTATGAGTAATATTTCATTACAGATGTCAATACTTCAGTACCAGATAAAAAATCCATAATGATGTACGTTATGTGTCTCTTTCAATCCTTACCACATTCTGGGGATGATGTTGGCGAACTGGATCTTTCAATCGCAAGTGACAGTACTCCAGTCAGTCCAGTTACAACACCAGGAACAGAGGTATATGAATGGTAGTTTAACTAAAGAAAGCAATAGAATTATAACATATCAGTCGTGTGTAAAAAAAATATTAAATTTGCAGAATACTTTATCGTTCAGCAATTTCGGATTGCCAGCTTCCCGTCCGATAAGTTTGGCTACAAATGTTTCTGTCGAGCTTGGCGGTTATCAGGTCGCGCTTGAAGATGTTCTAACATGGCTTTTGGAAGCAGAGGATAAATTGAATCATGCCCCCGAGCCAGGCTCGACTCTAGACATATTGAAACAACAATTTCACGAACACGAAACCTTTTTGATGGAATTATCTGGTCATCAAGACGGAGTAGGAACTGTTCTAGAGGAAGGTGCAAGATTATTAGCTGAAGGCGGATTACATAAAGATGAAGAACATGAAGTGCGTGTGCAAATGTCCTTACTGAATTCTCGATGGGAAGGACTTCGAATGCGTGCTATGGAAAGACAAACCAAAATTCACGAGGTTTATACATTTCGTTAATGAAAATAATTATAAATATATTAGATTTAAATATATGATAAAAATATATTAGATTATAAATATATTAGAATTATACATTTCGTTAATGAAAATAATTATAAATATATTAGATACGAAAAAAACTTATACTGATATTTAATTATATTTTGCGAATATATTATATCGAATCTGTGATTATTTCTAGGTCTTAATGCAAATGCAACAGACACAGTTAGATGCACTGCGACAATGGCTGACAAAAATGGAAGATCGGATTTCTTTGATGGCAGCAACTGAAATAAATCCGTCAACTCTCGAGGAGCAAATGAAACATTTGAACGAATTGGAACAAGATATTCAGGCACAACAAGACATAGTCGATGGTATGAGAAATATGGTAGTGGTCGTGGACGAAGAAAGTTCTGAGACAGTTTATGCTCAAATGGAAGATCAATTGTCCGCTCTTGGTGAACGTTGGAGTCACATTTGTCAGTGGAAAGAAGAACGACGCCAGCGATTGGAATCCCTGTCTATGCTTTGGCAGAGTATTATTGATGATTATAAAAGACTGGTAGCATGGTTAAACGAAATTGAAATTACGTTAAAGCAAATGGAAGCTAATCCAGCATCTGAATTTGGTGAAGTACTAGACAGAATAAGAAAGTTGCAGATTCTTAAAGCAGAAATGGATATAAATCAGAAAAAATTAATGTCTTTACAAGAATCAATTCAGGATTTAGATGGCAATAGCTCATCTTCAGATTACGCGAATATTTTGGAGAAGATTGAAAACTTGCAAGATCGATGGGAAGCTGTTGGACAAATCATGGAGGTTCAATCTCAAAGGGTAATTTAAATATAATATCCCACTATGAAATTCATTTTATAAACTAAATATGTTCCGCTTCTTGAATTCTTGAATAATAACTCACGTTTATGATATTACATTAGATAACAAACTCTGGATTTGAATTTGATTTAAAGTCCGAAGAAAGCATAACAACTATTAAAGGAAATGAATGGATGTCTGAAACGGTAACAAGTATAGCATACAAAGAAGAGATTACTGCAACAGTATGTATATTTTTCATTTTTTAAAATTATGTATCTTCTAAATCCGATTTTCGTTAAATATTCTTATTTTTTCAGTCAACGCCACATAGTGATTCAAAGAAGCGTCGTGTGGATAGCTCCACTAAACACGAGTTTGAATCGGCATTACTTCATTTATATAAATGGCTAGATTATGTTGACTTAGAAATTAGTCGTTCAGAAGGAGTATTCGATGAATTAAGCGTGGAAGAGAAGAAAGTTGTTTACAAAGATACTCTTGTAGACGTGGAATCTCATAAGAATGAATATGATAAAGTTCTTGAAATTGGTAAACAACTTATCGATGAATTAAAGAACGCAAACGAGTCCATTGAAGAAGAAGAATCCAAAATTAAGGACATACAAAATTGTTGGATAGCGACAAACAATCGTTTGCAGGAAATAAAGAAGCGGATAGATTATCTGGAAGAAGTAAAGAAATTCCGGACTGAACTAGCCAGTTTAAATCTAATGTTGGAGAGTTATACAAAGTGGTTTGATACAAATAAAGAAAACAATCAAATAGAACCATTCAGAGTAAGCTAAAATATTGCTTTAAGCTAAAATAAATTGAATCATGCCCCCAATATGCTTTTTACAATTTAATGTCTTTAACATCAGTATATATATCTTTAATTAAATATTAAAGATATATATATATATATATATATATATATACATATATATTTAATATTTACATTTTATATATTTTTATATATAATAACTATATATTTTAATTTTAAATTTCATTTAGGTTAAAATGAAATCAATGAAGTCACATGATGAGCGCATAAAAAATATGCTTGAGAAAGCAAATGAACTGTCAGAAAATCAAATTGCGATTACAGAAAGTAGTAATGTGGATTTGGACATAAAAGCATTTTCCACTAATTGGGAAAAATTATACACCATGTAAGTATTATTCAAGATATATATATATTTGTATACTTTTTGTACATTTCATTAAAATATACAATATTTTCAGGTTATCGGATCGATTAACTGAAGTAAATAATGCTATCGATCGAACACCACCTAAAAAGTACACTGAGGCAGTCACTAGTTTGATGTCATTTATCAACAATATCGAAGGTGTTCTATTGTCAGAACATGTAGTTATATCTGATGAAAAAATTATGGAAGAGCAAATAGAAAGATTTAAAGCTATACAAAGTTCATTAAAAGAACAAGAACAAACTTTCAAATATGTTAATTCCACTGGACAAGATCTCATAGCGAAGATAAATGATGATTCTTTAGGACAACGGCTTAAAGATGAATTGCAAGACTTGAATACTAAATGGAGTGATATTCCTATCATTTTGGAAGAAAAACAACAGAGTCTTGTCAAAGGTAAATAAAACAAAGATACTTATTATATGTAATATGCTAAAAAAATTATTTGTTTAAATTTGTGGCTTATATTTTATTTAACTATTGTAATTTATATTATGATTGTATAATAAATATTTATTATTAATGTAAAATAATTTTTTAGATATTGCAACTTCGCAAGCGTTTAGTACTGAACTTTCTACACTTGAAGCTTGGTTGGAAAAGTCATCATTATATCTAGAGGATTTATCTAAAGCGGACATTACAGATAATGTTGAAAATATTCAGCATAAATTAGGGCAAATTCGTTCGTTTTCTCAGGAAATAGACAAAACAAAACCACAGATAGAAGCACTTCGAACATCGGCAAATGCAATACTCGAGAAATCTGAAGCTAATTTTGCAAATCTATTAAATAGCAAATTACATACTATAGCGTATAAATGGAATGATATTCTCGATGAGACTAGAAGTTTAAGTGACAAATATGAGAGTGCTTTAAAGAAGAATGATGATGTAAGTATATACAATTCTTATAAAAGAATTCACAAATGTAAACGCTTGTTGTATAATAATTCTGTTTTATTAGATTATAAATGGTATAGAAGATTTCACAAAGTGGTTATCGAGTTTAGAAAAAGATATCCCTGTAGATTCGAGAATAACATCTTCAGTTGAACTTTTTCAAGTGCGTGGTCGATATCAAGCACTGAAAGACAAAGTTGACAAACGAGTGGAAGAGTTCAGAAACTTGAATGAAATAGGAAATGATAAATTATTAAGTTCAGAAGGAGCATCCGTGCAAGAGTTGGGTAGACGCTTTACTTTCTTAAATGCACGATGGACCGACGTTACAGATCGCATATATGAACACTACAGACATTTACAAAATGCTAGTCATGAATACGGGGAATTTCGGGCTTTAGTTGCGCAGGAAAGCGATTGGTTAGATAAGTTAGATAAACGATTAAAAAAATCACCTAAAACTGCTGCAGATGCAGAAGAAATATCAGAAGAACTTGATGTAAGTAAATCATCCAGTTTAAACATGTAGTGTGCTAATTGCCTCATAATTTAAATATGAAATAATTTTAATTAAAAGAATAAATTGTGATTTAAAGAATTAATTTCTTTATATTTATTTTGTGTAAAATTTAATTATATATATATGTACGTATGTACGTATGTAAGTAAATATATGTTATATTCATCTATGAAATTTTATAATCTTATCTTATTTTTTTAATATCTATATAATACTTAAATTTTATTATTTAAGGATTTAGAAAATTACATACGAAATCACCCGGAATCTAGACTTGAGAAGATTCAAGAAATTGGTAAACAACTCATCGATAGTAATATCATGACTCATTCTATTGAAACAGATGTGGAAGGATTAACAAATCGATGGGAAAATCTAAATAAGCAGGTATGTATGTTAAATATTACATGTTCATGTTTATTACTAATATAAAGTGTATTATTATTAAGATACCTAAATAGTTTATATTATTTTTTGAAAATTGTATATAACAATAGTTTTAAGTATGGAATATCTAAGCACGAATTTTTCGGATTTTAACAGCTTGTATAGTCGCATGTAACATCATTACGAATTACTTAAAACGATTATGTGAATAGTATTATGCAAATATAATTATCTTAGTTATAAAATATATATAATTATGAAAATAGTTTATATAATATATCAAATAATTTTTTTTTAAAGAAAATTTTTAAATATTACATATATTTATTATTATGTGTCATATTGCTTGTGCTTGGCCGAAAAAAAATTATAATCAGCCAGTTGTAATTCTAATATTTGCTTTGTAAAGTTAGTTTAGTTAGAAAGATAGAGTTATGTTTTGAGTAGGCAGGGCAACGGGCCAAGCTGCTGGAAGGATCAGTGAAACAAGCCCAACAATCGGAAGGGCGCATCCTTGCTCTCCAACATTCTTTAACACAAATAGATTCTGTACTAACTGCACGTCTTGATTGTGACCTCACTGCTGATGACTTGCCTCATGATTATCAGGTCTGTCCATGATACAAAAAAAGAATATGTATATTACAATGCTTTATTTTTGTATAATTTTCATTAATGTATTTAAAAATTAATATATAATTTATATATCAAGAATAAAATATAATTTTTATGATGTTTTAGGGCTATAATTATCATGATTTTATTGCTTATAAACGATCTTATTATTAAGCTTGTCAATGTTTAATTGTAAAGAAGCTATAGAATATAAGATATATATCTCTTAGACAATATTATAAGATATATATCTTCAGGCATGTTATTACAGAAATATTCACTAATATACAGGATGTTCATAAAATACCACCAAAACTATACAGTGCGAGTTTAATAACATACAGTAAAAGATATACAAAATATATCATTTTTATTTTATATATCTTTTTCTGTATGTTATTAAACTCGCACTGTATAGTTTTGGAGGTATTTTATGAACATATATATATATATATATATATATATATATATATATATATAACGATTTTTGGATAATATGATAATATGATAAAAAGACATGATTATTAAAAAAAATCTGCATTTTTTGTATAGATTTTACTAATTGTATCATAAAAGAAAATGTAAAATTATTAATATCATGAAATAAATATAATAGTAGATTTTCTTTATTTTATGCATAATAATTACATATTATCACAGAAATTAATGGAAGAGTTGGAACAACAGCATGCTACACTCGAAGAAATGGCATCACAAATTGAATCGTATAAAGCTTCTGGTAAACAAGAAGCGGCGCTTCGACTGCAAGAACAAATGTCTCTGATTGAACAAAAATATACTAAAGTCCAGGCAAAGTTTCAACGTTTTCGTTGTCCGATCAATATAGAACCTAGATTATCAAGAGCTTTACGAGAACTCAGGGGAATAGAGGAAGCAACTTGCTTGTTAGAGCTATCATCAGAAGATCCCGAAGTCATCGAAGGTCAACTAAAACATTGCTTGGTATATTAATTATATATTACTTATAAAAAATATATAATATTTGGGAAATTAATGTATACATTAATAATTTATTTGTTACAGCGCTTTTATCAAACTTTAAGTGAGATTAAAAGTGAAATTGAATGTATAATTGTTACCGGGAGAAAATTAGTTAAGGATGAAACTATTCCCGAGTCTGATAAATTTTCAAAGCGAATTGATATGTTAAAGGAATTATATAATAAGGTATATAAGTTGTAATTTTAGAAAAGAATGTATCGCAATAAAAGAACAAATTGAATAGTTTTTTAAATTTATTACAGCTTGGTCGTCATATAACAGAATCCAAATCTATATTAGAATCGGCATCAGACTTGTCATGCGACATACAGAAAAAGTTGACATACATTAACATGTCAGTTGAGAGCATAAATAAGGAGTTAGATACGCAAAAGAGCATGCCCGATCTGCCAGTAAATGCGATATATGTACGAGTAAGTATAAATTAATTATAAATCTAATTCTAATTATATTTGTTTCTTAGTTCAGATATAAAAACGAATAATTAAATATTAATCATGCTTTTTTATCGAATTAAATTTTATAATTTTTTATATTAATAAATCAGAAAAATATATGTTCAATCGCCATTATTTGTAGGAGACTTTGACTGAAGTAATTCCGCATCTCAATATTATAAGAGACAAATTGCTTAGATTGCAAGATGAATTTTCAAAGTTATGCGATCCTATGTATCTCGAACAACTTAAAGAAAAAATATCAGACATTATTACAAGATTAACTAATACAGAAAAAAGACTGCGACTGTGTAAGGGCTCAGAGGTAAATATTCCTTTATAACATTTTTCTCAATACTTTTCAATATATTTTTTAATATGTTTTCTATGTTCGTTTTTTTTTCGTAAAAGGATGAACCTAATGTCGATGAAATAAACGCATGGCTTCTTCAAATTGAAGATAAATTAAACAAGTTAGATGCAGTTCCAATTGATCAACTTACAGAACATCACTTTGAACAGTGCAAGGTATTGAAATATTGTATATGATATTAATACAGAAGATATATAAGAAATTACATATTCATTTTATTTTCTTTCTATTTTTCTTTAATAGTTTAAAATAATATTTGATAGAACGTACTTATAATAACATCCTAAAATGTTTTTAATGTTATCTGTAATATTAGGCTGTGCAAAGTGAAATGATAGAAGCAAAACCTAAAGTTAATCAGCTTCAACGTTATGCATTTTATCCTAAAGTAGCTGAAATATGTGAAAAATGGGAAGATATCTCTAACAGAATACAGGTACGTATTCAATTTTTGTGTTTATATAAAAATAAAGAGTTTATCTTTTTTCTAAATTTTATCATTCATTGCTTATTCGCTCATGGCTTATTCCTTGCTTTATACTTTAACAATTGGTATATGTAATGCTTGTGCTTGTTAGTACCATTACGTATATCTCTATCATGTAAAACTTTTTATTAATATGAAATTTCATTATATTCTGAAAAAAATTCAAAAATATTACAGATTTATTTTGAGTATCCAAATCTTTGCATTAAATATTAATTTTTCTTTAATATTGAAAACATTATTCCATTCTTTTGCAGCAGGATTTAAATGGAGCTATGTATGTTTTAATAAGTATTATTTTCTGGATATCTATATGTTTCTTGTATATATACTGATTATATATTTTAATGGTCATTAATAATATTTTTTTTATATTAAGATAATATATATATACACACACATATATATGCTTTTTTGAATTTATTTTTATATTCCTCAACATATAGTATGAAATTTAATAGATTAGAATAATATGTATACTTTAATTCTGTCCAAGAGGTGGCTCTATCTTTGTAAATAATGTAATTACTGGCACAAAATAAGTATATACTTTGGTGGACGGAAAAAAAACTTTTATCGAAAGATTGTGTTCTACAGTATTGTCTCTCCCCTTATAGACATAAAAAACTATTTTTTTTATGAAGAACTTAGACAGCAAGCTACAGAGTTAAAAGAGAAGTTAATTGAACAATAGTGCAATGAGATTCTTGCATTGGTGATGGATACACATGAAAAATTTAGCTTTATGCACAGTGAACTGCCATTGTCACTTTCATTTAGATCATATGCTTAATATTGTTTTACTATATTAACATGCTCTTTCAATTAACTGTCGATTGTCTCTGAAAAGTTTCTGTCACCTATCATATTTTCACAGGAATGGATCCACAAAATTACAGACAATTTATTAATAAAAAGTAAAGCAGAAGCTTCTAAGGGGAGAGACAATTACGGACGCAACAAATTACCTAGACAGCTGGAACAAACTTTAGCACATCCTGTTAAAAAAGAAAAAAAATTAATAGATGAGAACGAAGCTATTTATGGCATAGGATATCTTAATCCTGCATTTGATGATAATCAATGTACTATTATTAATACGCCTGAAACTTCGCCCATTGATGTACCTCATCGAAGTAGAAAATCTTCTGCTAAGTCGGAAAAAGTAAAAGCTAGAATTGTAGATGTCAGTAGAACCGTTAGGCGAAAATTAGATATGAGTTCTGTACCTGATGTTGTTCAGACTTCTCAACCGCAAATTGTTCAAATTGATGATGACCTACCTTCGCCTTGTTCTGATACAGATGTGCACATGACTGATGAAGAAGAATTCTTTCTGACTAAAAACAGTAAATTATTTTCTCAAGTATCTAGTAATACCTTGACAGCAACAGAGACAAAGACGTCTAACGTAGCTTGTGCACAACAGAATCCATTTCGTATTGTTGAAGTGAAAGAAATGGAAATTGTGAAATCAGTAGCATCTTCCGAAAATCATGTAATTTTGCCAAGTGCTAATGTCAGTGTTGGATTGATGCCGCAAGTAGTTGAAAGAGTGGAAATTATCGAAGATACTGAGACAGAAGCTGAATCTATAGATACTGATACAGAAGACAGGGAACTTAGGGGAAAAATGTCTTCTGTTATTGGTGTTGTAGAGCAAGTAAATAAAAAGAAAGAACTTGTGCCAATCCTAAAGAAGAAAAAAACTTCAGTCAAATCTTCTACAAAAAATATTAAAAGACTTGTATTAAAATTAGATTTAGACACTGATCAAAGTAATGTTATCGAATCAAATAAAAGTACAACATTTTCCAGTAATGAACCATTGAAAAATACAGAAGAAGCTAACATTGCAGAAATTTCGAATGCTGAATGTAGTAAGGTAGAGCAACAATTAAAAGAAAGATTAAATAAATTACCAGTTTCAATGTTGAAAGATACAGAAAGTGTGGCGGAGTATCTTATATTAGATGATAATAAAGAAATTGAAAAATCCGACATGGAAATCAATGAGCAAACAGATTATGCTAAATCACAAGATTTAATAACAATGCAAGAAAAGGTAGCTGAAAAGACTATTGAATATCCTAAAATATATGAAAATGCTGGTGATGCGAGTTGTAGCAGAGAAGAAAAACTATATAAGAAATCACCATTATTAAAACGTACAAAGAATCTATCAAAAGATGATACATTGGAAGATTGCGAAAGTTTTTATGGCAGTGATAAGGAAACAGATGATGTGTTGATATTTTCGGATGATACAGAAATTGATGTTGGTAGTTCCAGTTCAGATGGAGAAGATACTAATTTAGGGAAGCATGTTGAGCACCTCTTGGACAAGGTAACATGTGTGCCGCATATATCCATCTTTGAGGTTTACCAACTCGTTATTTCCAATTTTTTTGATTATAAACTTATGAGTACCATAGTTCTTGGATATCGTTTTACAAATTTTTCTTTTTTTACAGATTAAACTTGAAAAGTCTCGACCGCTCATGCATAAGATGGAAACAAAAACTTTTAATGAGAAAGCACTATTTAAAGGTTCAATAAGTACATCTCGAACAACATTAGAGAAAAATATTTTAGAATTTGAACAGTTAGCACAAATGATGCTATGTAGAATGGATGTTATGTTAATGAGTATTAGCGGTATCTCTAATGAAAAAGATCCTACTAAACGTCTTGAGGTTTGTATAATTTATTTACCTATATTATGATTAAAATCATATCATTTAATATGAATTATGAATTATGATTATTATAATTCATATTAATCATATTACAGATACTCAAAAGCGAAATTAGTACTCTTGCCCCAGATGCAGCAGCTTTAATCAGTAAAGGAGATGATCTAGTTATGACAATACATATGACTGATCCTGGACGAGCAGAAAAAATAAAGAATGAACATCAAGATAAGCTAAGGAGTAAGTGGCATCAAGTTATGGCAGAAATTAAAACCCGCAGAAAACAGGCACAAAAAGCAGAAGAAACTTTGCGGCAATATAATAATATAATCACAGAACTTGAGGATTGGTTCAGAGATGTACCATTGAAACTTGAACAGGCTAATAATTATGAAGGTCAATTAGAAACATTTACTGAGGAATTTGATGCAAAACAAATACAAATACACAAATTGAACGAACTAGCTGTGGAATTGAAAAAATTAAATGTTAACTACTCCGAATCAGTACGTTATAACATTAACAGCAATTGGCAAAAAGTTAGTTCACAGTTCAAACGATTTAGTGGTAGCAAAGATAAAGATAAACAGGTGATCGACAAGAAAGTAGAATTGGTATGTATAAATATTTGTTTGAATTGTTATAAATTATATAATATTTAATAAAAATTAATTTAATAAAAATTATAATAAAAAGACCGAAGTGTTTATATGAAAAAATTTGTAGAATTTGATTATATTTGCGAATATTTTTTTCAGGATATTGATAATGTAAATCCGCAAGAATTTATTGCGCGCATTATCAAACTGAGAGAAGCGATCTCGACTGTGTCGCGATCTTTAAATTCTTTGCCATTGAGTGGTAAAGATTACGAGCTATTTACAAGTCAAGAAGAATGTTTAAAGAAAATTGGCAATGCTTTAAATATTTTGAAGCCAAGTGTCGATGAAATGAATTACATTTGTGAAAGTGTCACGCGGCAAGCCAAAAGAGAACAAGCCGATCAAATAAAACATTTAAGTGAAAAGTTGCAAGATGAATGGACAAATATAAATCAGAGCTACGTAGAAAGATATAATCGTTGGATTAAATGTTACGAAAAATGGATGGAACTGTATAATACGTGCCAAACATTTTCGGAATGGTTAGATAAGATGGAAGATGCTCTAAAAAAATGTAATGTTTATAGCCATTCTAAAGCAAGCAAGACGAAAACTTTCGAATTAGAGCAAGAAGTTTCTAGAATGCAAAGAACATTGAATAATATTAACACAACGAATACAGATATATCTGATCGAGCCTCCGTTGAAGATATGATAGAATTACAAAATATAATTGAAAACATTAAGCAACGCTGGCAAAATTTAGTAGCCGAAATAAGCGCGCGAAAAGAAAAGTAAGTGAAATATATGGTAATGACATTTTTGAATGAGGAAATAATATTATTTATTGGATGTATATCCATGTTTGTATATCCATGTTTTTATTATTCAAATATTTTAAATAAATGTTCGTCGTATTTCATAATCACAAATAATAGTCGTTGCTTATAATTTAAAAAGTTATGAATTATGAAATTATGACTTGCTAATACATACAAGCATGTAGCATTGCGAGGAAAGCTCGGTCCAGCATTGAGCTATTTCAGTTGTGATTTGTCTGTGCTACTGTAGTGAAGTCAGTCAACTCAGAATAACCTCAGAATAAGCAAACACTTTCGAGTTTCTTTTGTAAATTATATTTTATATAAAATAATAATAGATTATAATTTTTATTAAAATAATTTTCGGTGATTCGATGTTTGAAATATATGCTAAAATATTTCTTTTTTTAAATGTATATTATATTTTTTTAAATATATTTACATTAATGTATTATTTAAGGAATTTTGCTATGGAGAAAAAAATAAACAATGACGGTAGAGTCTTGGAAACGTCGTACAATATCATAGAACAAGTTAACACTCTGTTGGTATCTGCAGCAAATCCTTCGGACGAAACCTCATTATCGATTCGATTATCATTAATTAAGGTAAGATTATATATATTTAGAATGTTTCTTTTATTATCTTATTAGAATCTACACGAACGATCATTGATGCAGTAAAAAGTTTATTATATTTATTTTTATTTCTTAAATATACGAATTTTTAGATTTTAAACAAATAACATAATAATATAGTAATTTAGTTTTATGTATAACATATTGACTACTCCCGCGAAAGTTATTCTTATTATATGAAGTCACATTTTTTAAATGATATCACATACACAATATATAACACACTATATTATATATTAAAAAATAAACACTCCTAGCACTTTGCTTAGATGTGACTTGGATAAGTAATGGAATTATTCTCTGCGAGATTCAGTTTCTATAGCCCGGTGCAGCATAATCAAATAAACCGAAACTTGTCCTAATAATACCTCTACATTTCATGACTGCACATACTAAATCGTGCCAAGATATAAATAGCATTGAACTCTCACTTTCAAACAAGTTTCTTAATTCACCTATATATATATATATATATATATATATATATATATATATATATATTTGTCTTTTATTTTATTTTATAATGTTAATTAATATTTATATTATTATAATAATATTATATATATATATATATATATATATATATATATATATTTAAAATGTTTAAAATATAATGTAAATTATAATTCTTGTTTATTGATATTTTTAGCATATGTATAAACCAAATTTTTTAAATATAAATAAGTATTATTTACTTAAGGATTAATAAAATATTTGTAGGCAAGAGAAGAAGAACTTTCGTCTCGGAAAAGAGCTTTGCAAGCCTTAGTAAGTCAACATAACGTTCCTAGAGAAGAAGACGAGAGCTGCAGACTTCTCTCGGATATGGATAAGGTATCCATTGCTTATCTAAATATTTAGTAATATTAATTTTATGAAATTTTAGAAACTTGATAGGTATAACAATTTTTTTTGTATCTAATAATATTTAGGCTAATGCAAGTCTCTCAAATCATCGCGAATACGTGGAATGTAAACTTGCATCGCTTAGAAAATACATTTGTACTTTGGATGCTGTTATGGTATGGATTATGGAAACGCGAACGCGATTAAGTATTTCTCAAGAGTTGCCGCAACATGAGCGTGATGAAATAATTAAAAATATTATGGTAAGTTATAATATTTTTTTATATATTTATAATAAAAAGAATAAGCTTCAAATTTGTATTTTTATAAACTCATTATAGTCTAGGGTCGAAGATCGTGAGATGGAAGTAAAAGATGTGTTAGAAAATTATACTAATTTGGAAAAAGAATGTGAATCAGCAAAACAGCCAGTTTCTGTTGAACTACAGGTATATAGAAATATGTTTATTATGCATAATTCTCAATAGTTTATTATTAAGATATATTGATATTTAAGTTTACATTTTGTATATTGTAGGAAAAGCTGAAGAAATTGAGAGAGGATTGGCAGTTTGTAAAGTGTTATGGTGACAATTATGAAGTTTCTTCCACAATTTCTATTGGAGCTACATCAAAAGGTAAGAGAAATATTGTGTGCATTTTTACTAAATTTGAGTTTTTTCTACATATACTAACATATCTTCGAATTTTATATTGCTATTCTTAAACACATACACACATTATGAGTTTTAAAATTTATGTATATTGTATAGATATATAATTACATACTTTTTTTATTTTCATTAAAAAACTAATTTCGTTAATATAATTTTGAAGAAATATTTAATATTGCATATACTTTTTGTGTTTTTTGCAAAGGATAAAAAAATATTTAAAAAATTTTTCACTGCATTAAAAATATGTCAGTAATGTTTTTAATATAATAGAGATAATGCTTTTTGGCTGATTGAATGCATTTTTAAGCTTGAAAAAATTTTTATGTCATTATTCATGATAATTTATGAATTCACATATTATTTACTAATATAAAACATGATAAGTTAACAAAGATATAATTAGCAACAACATATAGTTAGCAAAGTTAGATTTTTCATTTTTTATCTTTTACATAGGAAAAATATTTTCTTCTTAATTGAACGTATAAAAAAATATAGAAAATTCTTAGTTCATGATTATGTACATCATGATTACATATTTTACTACATAGCAGTGACAATAAGTGAATATAAATTAATTAAATCATGTTACACCATAAAATACATGCTATGTATTCAATTAACATAATTTTGTTCTCTATATATTACATATCGTTACATCAAATTTGAAAAAGCGTTATGATCAGGATATATAATACCAAACGTTTAATATGAATGAAGCCAATTCTAACTGTCTTTGGTAAATGCGTGTTCTTATGGACGACACAGAATCTCTGAAGGAAACCGGCAGCCGGACAATAAATAGTACATTTAGCCGGTCCGGTAAGCGCGGCTACATTTCACTTCCACCCCATCCTGCAGAGCGATATATATCCGCCGCGTTAAGTGCAGCCTTTTCAGCGACTAGCCCGATCCTTTCTCCTTTGCCACAGTCGTTATTCGATTGGTGTACTCGGATATAATGCTTTATCGCGTTGTTTAGAAATCTTCGTATTGATGACATTCATCAAAGGAGCTTCAATAGATACAAATAACGTTCTTCCTTAATCTCCTAATTTAATCAAAATTATAATTTTAAGTGAATTATATTTTGTAAAAGTGTCTTCTAAAATTGATCGATTAAATGATTTTTGATTGAATTTTTTTTTAATTCTCAATTTAATATAAGAATGTGATGTGAGAAACATTATTTATATCTATTGAGCTGCTTTGATAAATATCAAACGAAGATTTTTAAACATCTAACATGTTGTTCAGAGTTTTAATAAAATAATACTTATGATTATCGAAATTTTCTATTTTAATTATTAAAATATAATTCGAAAGTTCATTATAAATTTGTCAAAATATTTTTCACTAAATTTTCATTAAAATTAAAAGCAGACATCTTTGAATATGTTATATTTGTATAACATTTATTAATTGGCAAAAATATAATATATTGTCATTATATATATAATGATTTAAAAATTTATTAATAAACTTTTTAAGCAATGCAATAGCAACGAGCTCGGATCGCAAAATGACTTTTTAAATCGGTGAAATTGTCCCGCGTCCTTTCGAAGCGCATTAATTTTCGTCCGACTCACGTAGTTTGTGACGTCACGGTATCATTTTCGGGAAAGCTTCTCGTCTTCTCCATATTTATCGTTAGCGAGAGTGAATACTCGTGCGTTTTCTAATGTCAGGATTGTTTGAATCGAGTGACGGATTATCGAGAATCGGGAATGTGAAATGGATTTTCAGATTAATTACGGAATGTGATGATAATCGACCGATCTTTGATGATCGAACTCGGGTCGCGAATCGGGCACTCTTCTAGAATCGATATGAAGTTGTCCCGCGTCCTTTCGAAGCGCATTAATTTTCGTTCGACTCACGTAGTTTGTGACGTCGCGGTATCATTTTCGGCAAAGCTCCTCGTCTTCTCCGTATTTATCGTTAGTGAGAGTGAATACTCGCGCGTTTTCTAATGTCGGGAGTGTTTGAATCGAGTGGCGGATTATCGAGAATCGGGAATGTGAAATGGATTTTCAGATTAATTACGGAATGTGATGATAATCGACCGATCTTTGATGATCGAACTCGGGTCGCGAATCGGGCACTCTTCTAGAATCGATATGAAGTTGTCCCGCGTCCTTTCGAAGTTAATTTTCGTTCGAGAATATAGGTTATACGAATCTTGTTTCGTCGCATTTATACGCGTTTCGAGTATTGTGACAAGTATAAATATCCAACAAGTGTATAAAGAGAAATGACAGCTGATCATCGTGTCGCATTAATCGACCTACGGGATTGCGATCAAATGTTTTTTGGCCGATTTATAATTCACGCGTGTGTGAGTGATAAGAAAAATGGAGCGTCCGGCGAGAAGGGAATAGTGGTGTATTGTCGAGTGAGTAAATTTTCCCCATGATTAATAATTCGTCTATTTAATTTGTAACAATATGATATTATATCGTCGCAACAATCCTGCTTTTAACACCTGCTTTACGCTTTCGTGCTTATCGCGTATCAGAATATATAAAAATTAAATAACTTGTACAAGATGTTGCGATATAGTAACATGGTTATAATTATCATGATTTTAATATCGTGTTTTTATATCGATATAATTTTGTATTTAAAATTTTATATATATATATCATCAATAATTTAAACAAAGTAATTTACTATTAACAATTCTCTATAGTCTCGTGCAATCTATGATATATTCAATAAAAAATTTCTCTCTAGACATTTATAAAATTAATCGAAATATAACGCGTTAATAAAATCACGAGTAATTAAAAAATTTATCAAAGATATTATAATTGATAATAACTGATTTCATGGATATTGTTACGAAGGAGAGAACACTATCTTTTTTTATCGTGCTATTGTAGAAAAAATAGCGGCGCTTTTCATTGTACATATTAATAAATCGCGACATGTGACCACTGACCCTGTAACGTGTTTTATTCGACGTTGACGTCGCGATAGTCAAGAGTAAGAATAGACGCGTCTCTTGTGATCTTTCGTAAAGAGCTTAGCGAGGAGGATCATGGGGGGATGGGACGGGGTGCGATCGTCCTCCCACATAATGAGCGGATAAGCCGGCTAATGTAGTCGGTGGCGGAGCATTGCCAGACGGAAGATAGCTCAAGCCTTGCCGTCGCACATTTCTCTTGTTCACCGTATCCATACCACCCTCTTCCCTCCTCCGCTCTCCTCTCTCTCTCTCTCTCACCCTCTTTCACCCTCCGGCAACCGGTTAACGTACCGAGATAGAATCAGGCTTTGTCGGACACAAGTTTATACCGCCTCGCCGACGAAGTCGCACACGTGCGCACGAACACGTACGGATAACACCGTGTGATTATCCCTTAATTGACGTAGCCACTCCGAGGTGTAATCCGTTCATTCTGATTCCGTGCTGCCACATCGCTGTGTAAAAAATTACTTTACACAGGTTGGGCGAATTCTCGCGTAAGTGGAAATCGGTGCAATGCCTCGCGTGATGCTCGGTCGTGTATTAAAAAATATGAGAAAAATGAACAAGTATTGATAAAATACAAAATATACGTAAGAGAGGAAATTAGTTTTTTATCCTATAATATAATCAAATTATTATAGCATTTGATACACATTTATTTTTATTTTTTAATGGTATATTATTTTGATTATTTTCCCATTTTATTACTTTTATATTATTTTTATTTTTCTTAATAATAATTCTATTTAATAATAATAATGAACTTAATATATTATTTACGTTAATGTTATCCAAAATATATTGTATATAATATCATGTTTCTATAGCGTTGAGAATTTTGTATAAGATGATTGCTATTTAAAGCGGAATTTATGGAATTGCGATTTGAGGAGCATTGTGTGTGTGCACAATTAATAGTTAATTACCGCAAATTTTAGCACTTGCACAACTGAAATAATTGAGACCATTTTCAATTATAAGATAATTAACAGGGAAATTTATTGATGGTTTACAGCAAAATAGGAGGGATAAGAGTTGCAGATTTTTGGTAGGCAAAGTAAAAATAATATTTGTAAACATTTACATTTTGCAATATTTAAAGAAAAATATATAATATAATACATAAGTTAGCAGATTTTTCTCTCTATATTACAGGTATAGCACAAGTCTACTATTTTTTTAAAATAAATATTTTAGTACATAAATTAAAAATTCTTTTGTTTATATATTCGTGCAGGTCAATCTGTTCTAGCGGGAATTAATGTTTGCGTAATCGATATTCAGATAATTGGCACATGATGCTGTACTATAAATTGTACATAATCAAGCATAATATATTAATGTCTCTCTGTAAATTATTAATTATTATGGAAAATCAAGTAACATTAATTCATAATATTACAAATTATATCTAGTTTGTTATCAAAATATAGATATAAGAATATATCAGATCTAATATAATTAAAAAATTATAATAAAAATTCGAAACATGTGCACTTTTATATGTTATAAAATTGCACTTGGTTTAAAAGTTACAGTTTAGAATTTCATAAAAAATTAAATTTCCTGTTTAAAAAAATATGTTTGAACTGATATTTATTTATATATAACGTAAAGTAAGTTATAGTAATTTTGTGGATAGATTACTTCAATGTAGCAGTCAAAAATTTTTTTTTCCATCACATACATCTCGCGCGTATTTAATTTAACTCCGATCGATTTCCATTTAATAAAAAACGCAAATATTGAGATAGATTGTGTATAATACTTTTACCGAAATGATACAAACAGAGAAGCTTTATCGAAAATTATCTTTGATTCGTCATCAAAGAGAGAGTATCAAAAATATGTGTGTATATCTCGATTACATTATTAATAAATATAATCAGCTCACGGTTTTGTCGTTATAAATACGCATGAGAGAATTCGCGGATGAAAACGGAAATTGAAGTGTGTTTATCGACCCGTATGACGGCCCCTCTTGCAA